ATTTTAATACAGTTTCTCCTTTTTGATTCTTAAACATTACGATACATATATTTACACTGTTATTTGGAGTGTTCTGCTTCAAAACTTCTTTTATTTCATTTGTTTTCTAGAGTTTATATACAAATATATGTATGTAATTATTTTCCAGTAGAGCTGGTAAATAGAATTTTAAATCTAGCTTCTTGTTACTTGGGAAAGGTACTTATGCGACTTAAGCCCTCCATCTCAAAGCATATTGCTACCTCAGGTACACTTCTGAATATGACAAGTTGGGTATTTTCAGCTTGAGAAATGGAAACCTCATATCTTACAAATCAAAATCAATGTTTGAACTAGCTGCTGCTTTAATTGATGATTCAAAAAAAAAAAAAAAGACTAAATGTGTGCCATACATGTGCTATTTTTTTTTTCCTTTTTTTTGAAACTTGACTACTAGGACTCCACTGTGATAGTTTCTCTTGGCTGATGACTCTATGTTAAAGCAGGCTGAGACTCCCTGACCTACAGGTTCTTTACCGTGTGCATTAGACTGTTCTAGAAAAGAAGGGATATTATAGGTCACTACTAAACAAGGGCTGTTTCTGTCACTTCCTGTCTCTTGAATAATTTTCTCTCTTCATCTGGTATTAATTCTGCTTCAGTACAAACTTTGTAAAGCCACTAACTTTGCGAAGACCTCTTTACAAAGATCTGTTTCTGCAGGTGGTACCACCCTAGAGGAATATTGAAATGTGTGTGGTGGTCTCTTGAAAGGCCCTACTGTAGTAATGGTGTTTTTAAGCCTTGTGTGTTTAGAATTCTCTCTTCACAAGCTGTATTGTGGGAGATAATCAACACAAAGGACTACAGGTGCGATTTTAGAAGGTCTGGTGATTTTTGTAATTTCAATGAGAAGTTAGACTGCAATGGAAATTGCTTTCTCAACTATGCATTCAGGATTGAGTCAGTAGTTTGAAAAGTATCTTTACTAACTAAACATTTATTACTGCATTTAGTGGAAAAAATCTTTTGAACAGATTAAGATAAAACACAGTGTTCTGCTACTACTTTAGAATACTGAAACTTGTTGGTGTATCTGATTATTCTTATGATGGAACCTTTTAACTCTGCTCTTTTAAGGTACTGAACAGAAAGAGTCCTGATTAAGAACATCCCGGAGCCAGCAGTTATTTTCCTGTGCCTATAATTAACTTAATTCCATCTGAGTAACTTCCTGAGAACATGCAGGATGTTTCAGTATAGAATACAGAAGTAGTTCTAGGGGAAGATGTCTTCAGCCTACTTACTGGATTAAAATTAGAGGCCTGTACCCTCAGCAAGGTTTGCCAGTGCATCTTACAGATCTTCCTAGTATGGTCTTATGCAGTAGCAGAAGTTTTTTCTCTGTATGGGTTACTCATAATCTTTCCAATCTAAACAAACTATGACAATAAAAGGAACCTTCACACTTTTATTCCAGTTATTCTGCTGTCGTAAGAAAAACATTTGAAAACAAATCAAGCATGAGATAAAACCCAAACCACTCCTGTATTATACATGCTTAAAGCAATGTTTTCCCATTGATTTCCTCATGGGATATCTAACTTGACTGATATTTGAAAAACTTATTTCATGAGGGAGAATTCCATGCCAGCTTTCCCTTTTGTTTGAAATATACTGGTCTTTGTGTTAAATCCTCCTGGTTTGCCCTCCATTACTACTTTGCCATTTGTGTTGTTACACAATGAGTAACATGGCTGCCTGTGTGCTCTACCCCATAACAGCCTCTTCCCATAATACTGCTTTTGTCAGATGGCAGAAATATGCATGTTAAATGGTCATGACTTTGATCAATTTAAGTTGAGGAAATTGGAGGAAGGAAAGAAACCAGTTTTAAGTATTAATTATAATCAGAATAATAAGCTTATTAATAATTAAAGCACAGCAATAACTTTTAATTTGTATTCATATTGGGTAGATGTTGAAATCTGAAATAGTGGGGCAATTTTGTGCCTGAGACAAGCTTGGTTACTGTGACAGTTAAACTTTTCAGTTGTTATAAATATTAAAAGATGAAAAATAATCTGTTATGAGGGAGGCTGAACAAAAAGGTTAAGAATTACTTGGAAAAGGCACTTAATGGTTGGTTTTTTTCACGGGGTGAGGATGGGTCTTTCTAAATTTTATCCATGATTTTGGAGTCTTGAATATCAACTAATCCTGGAAACAATTGGCAGGCAAATTTGTTTGGAAATAGCATGGATCCATCAAGGGGAGGTCATACTTGACCAACTTGATAAACTTCTGTGATGAAATGACTGTCTTGGTAGAGGAGGGAAGAGTGGTGAATATTGCTGCCTGGAGTTCAGTAAGGCTTTTGACACTGCCACTGCTGAGCTCCTCATAAAGAACCTGTTGATAGGTGGGCTGGATGAGCAGTGAGGTGGATTGAAAACAGGCTGAATGGCTGGGCCCACAGGGTGGTGATCAGTGGCACGAAGTCGCGTTGGAGGCCTGTAACTAGCAGCGTACCTCAGGGGTTGATATTGGGTTGGATCCTCTTTAACATCTTTGTTAATGATCTGGATGATGGGGCACAGTGTACCCTCAGCAAGTTTGCCAACGACACTAAACTGGGAAGAGTGGCTGATACACCAGAGGATCATGAGGTTACCCCGAGGGACCTCAACAGGCTGGAGAAATAGGCTGACAGGAACCTCATGATGTTCAACAAGAAGTGTGAAGTCCTGCACCTGGGGAGGGGTAACCCCATGCACCAGTGTGTGCTGGGGGCCATGCAGCTGGAAAGCAGCTTTGCAGAGAAGGATGTGGGGGTCCTGGTGGTCACCAAGATGAACATAAGCCAACAATGTGTGCAAAGAAAGGACCTCCAGAAGTCCCAACCTCAACCATTCCGTGAATTCCTGTAAGAGATGGAAAAGCTAGAAAGAGGAAAGAAAATGCCTTGAAATAAATTTTTTATTTTGTGAGATTATGTGCTCCACTGTAGTGTCTTACAAACATCAACTTTTATTACTTTTTTTAAAAGATTCATAAAAATCAAGTATTTCTGTACTTCTTAGACTCTGGAAAATTTCTACTTGGAGTTAAGTGTCACTTAAACTATTTTAATGATGTGACAGAAGTTTTTAGGAACAACTGTTAAGAGATTACTTATATGCCTTAACAACAGCTACAAAGTATTTTATGAGAAGTGGACTGCTTTGTGTGAAATCTAACTCTATTAGATTCCAATTTTGACCCTTCAGCAGGACCATGTTTCATTGTCTACGTGAATTAATCACTGGTGGGAAAGCATTGTTCCTAATTTAAGTGTAGGGTACAAGTAGAAGACCATAAGGATGTGAGGAACTGGATTGATTTGTAGCAAAAGGGGAAGAAAGAGAAGAATCATACAGAAAACTGTGCCTTCTCTGCCTCCACATTCCCAGCTTGTGTATGGTTCCTTTGTACACGGGGGGAAGGAACTACTGACTCTGCCTGATAGATTTGTACCTGCAGGGTAAGAATATAGCTAACACGTGATAGGTGGAAACACTGGGATACTGGAATAAAGATTTGGGTGATGAGGAGGTCATGAAGTGAGAGATTAATATATATTTTAGTATAAGCTCTGAAAAAAAAAAAAGGCAATATTTTGAAAATGTTTAGCAATTATTGTCAGTGTAGTTTCTCTTATGTACATAACGTTATATGGATGCTTGAAACATGAGGATGCTTGCTCTTGTGCATATATTCAGGTAGCACAGAGTAAACACTTTTCAGCCCAACAGTAACTGCAGGGATTCATTCATCCTCCATCATGTAAATAAGAAGAATGTGCTTTATGTCCTTAATTTCTCCCAGTTCTTCAGCTGAATCAGTGTTTTGGTGTAAGATCTAAGTGGATTTAGCTTTTGATTTTCATAGCTTGCTCTTTTGCCTTGTATTAACAATTGCTATGCATGTAAGGAAGTTGTTTATTTTATCTGGGTGTGAAGAATTTCTTAAGGTAATAGGAGAAATCATGCTCAAAAGTGATCAAAGCCCTTGCAGCACACTTTCTGGTTGTAAGTATTTAGGTTATACAGGAAGCACTGTCAGCTGTTTCTTTAAGAAACCAACAGTGATGGCTCTTCGGAGAGGTGGAAGATCTCAGTGTTGTAATACATAGCATGGGGGATATACTCCTTTCCCTTGCTGGCTTGTTGCTATCCCGGGTTTAAGCTAGGTTCCGTGATCTCTGGGGGAGATGTTATTACTGTAGTCATTAGAGTGCTTCTCCCATCCACTTTGTCCAAATTAATTAAATAAACATGCATCTGTTGCCATGTAATTGGTCTGTGCTGAAGATGGAAGTGACCTTTTAGTCACTCGAAGGACTTTACCACAGCAAGTACAGACTGAAGAATTGTGAAGTACGTTGGAACTGCTGTCAGGCCACAGCCGTGTACACCCCGGCCTGGGCCATGAGGTGAATTTTCACAATAGCCACGAAGCTGCTCAGGCACCCGGGCTGTGGAAAGCTGCTATATTTCAAGGTTTGTAGTGTGGTTAAGTAAGGCGAGAATTTTGCTTTTTTCCCCCCATGTTTACCAACGGCAGTCCTCACCTTCAGTTTGAACACCATCCTTTCGGTGGCTTATTTATCACAGGGCAATTGTTAACAAAAACTGTGGGTTTTGTTTTTTGGTTTTTTTTTTTCCCCCTTTCAGAAAAGAGCCGGGGCTGACTGCCCAGGCCGCCGCTGCGCTCCAGGCCCGCGCCTCCGCCCGCCCTCACCGCTGCGGGCGCGGAGACGCCGCTGAGCGCGGTGACTCATTGCCTCCAGCCCCTCCGGGCAGGTTTTTTTGGTTTTTTGTTTTTTGTTTTTTGTTTTTTTTTTTTTTTTTTTTTTTCCTGTTCTGTCCCCGTTATTAGCGGGTTTACCACACGGCTATTAGCCTCGTGGGCGGTTGGACGCCGCCATCCCCCCCGGGCGACCCCGGCTCAGGGCGGTGGGCGGGGCCGCCTCCCGGCCACGTGACCAGCCGGCGGTGGGGAGGAGAGCAGAAGGAGGTAAAATGGCCGCCGCTCTCGGGGGGCGGTGAGGAGCGCTCGGCGCCGCTGCTGCCTTGTCAGTCTCCGGCTGGGCCCGGGGAGCCGCCCGCAGGGACCGAGTCTCCTCGGCTGCGGGGTGAGTGGCGAGAGGAAGGCGAGGGGGAGCCGGGGGCAGCGCGGGTCGGGCGCGGAAGGGCAGGAGAAGGGCAACGGGGGACGGGGAGCGCTCCCAGCTGCCAAACAAAGGCCGCCGCGGGGCCGCCCCTCCCGCCGGCCCCTCACAGCGGCGGGGCCGCAGCGGGCCCCCCGGCGGGAGCGGGGTTAACGGGTGCGGGGTGCGTCTGGGCCTGGCCCCCTCGGGCCGGGCTGCGAGGGCCCGCCGGCCTCTTCCTCGGCTCTGGAGCTTCGGCAGCGCCGCGGGCGATGCGGCGGTCGGGCAGGGCTCTCTTGTGGGTGCCGGGGACGTCTTACCGGAGATAAAACGGCCCGTGGGGTGCTGCAGCACGGCCGGGTATCGCAGTTGGCTCCGCCCCGCGGGGTGGGGGAGCCTCTTGTACCGTTTTTCTCTCCTTTTGTTAACTCGGAAGGATAGGCACGAGCACGACCCGTCAGGAAAGTTTGGCATCTCATTTCTGAGGTGAAGAATCACAGAATGGTGACCTTCGCAGGTCACCTGCTCCAACGCCCCCTGCTCAAGGGAGGCCACCAAGGCTAGGTTGCCCAGGACCGTGCCCAGGCGGCTTCTGTGTGTCTCCAAGGATGGAGACTCCACATCCACCCTGTGCCAGAGCTGGGTCACCCTCACACGGTAATAACAGAGCATTTCCTGATGTTCAGACTGTACCTCCCGTGTTTCAGTTTGTGCCCGTCGCCTCTGGTCCTGTCACTGGACATCACTGAAGAAGTCGGGTTTGAATAGCAAAATCCCTTCAGGACTGGGATTTGCTGCTTCTTATGTTACCGTTAAAAATCCCTTGGGGAAAGTGCTTTCCCATCTGTTACTTTTGATGGAGGATTGATGCTGGAGAAATACAATAATGTGATTTTTGCTGAAAACCTGTTTGAATTGTGGGAGTAATTATCTGACATCACCCCACTGTCAAATAATAAATTGAAAGATTAAAAGGAATTATTTAGAAGTTCAGAATGCATAAGAAAACCCATGTATTTGTCTATTGAATAGATGTTTGTTCTTTGTTCTGCAGTGGTGGTTATTTAAAGTAACTCGGTTATCAAGAAATTAAAATCTACTTGAAATCCTGGGTGACTACAGCTTCTGAAATATGACTGACTTTTTTGTTAAGTAAAAATACTCAAAATGAATGATTTTTGTCATGGACCTTGTGCTGTGACTAACAAACCCTTGATCTTATGATACAGAGAAATGCGTTGCCCTTGTGAGACAGTATAAGACAATGTTGTAGACTTCCTTGCTGAACCTGTGTGTGTTTTGTACAGGTTTTGACATTGATTTATGTTGGTTAGCATTTAAAACAAACAAACAAACAAACAAACTTAATATTGACACCTGTTTCTGTTTACTTTCTTTTATTTGAAGTATTTGAAACCTGAAATAGTATTTTGTAGGACTAGGTGTTTTGTATTTTGTACAGCAGTTGAATTTTCTCATGAAATTCAGATGTGTTTAGCAATACTTTGTTGTACGTTGATCAAAGTTAAATTCAGTCTTAAAGGTAGACTAGTTTCTCTCATAGGGTTTAAATCCCATTACCAGATACTTCACAAAACCTTTTTTTTAACTGATTTTTTTAACTAGAATAGAACATAGACATACCTGATAGTTGCTATCAGATGACATTAGTGACTTTTTGTTTAAATATGTTTGCAGCTTTCTAGTATTTTGAATGTAATCTCTAGTCTCTATTGTTTCATTAAAAAAAAAACAAAACCCACACCAAAAAAACTCCTCACTGTAATAGTTGGGAAATGGCCATTGACTTGAGGGCTGAAGGTGGAAAAGAATGACTTGCATATCTCCAATTTTCTGTATTTCTTACAGTGTACTGTAATAATGGTTGCAACCATAGGGATTCCCTTTTGTGCAAACTTTTTTTTGTTCTATTTGTTAAGGGTTTCAAAATATCTGTCTCTATCTTTAGGTTTTTTAATAGGTCTATTAATATTTTCTAGTTACAGTATTTGTTCTTTGATATAAAGTAACAAAAATAAGGTAATTATTAAAATCTTTCTCATGTGGATAACAGGAGTGTGACTAAGAGAAGTAGAATAAATGTACCCAGATAAATAAGGAAAAGCTGAAAATGAGCGTAAAGTCATTAGTCATACTGGAACTTCAGGCGTTGGAGAAGAAGAGTGGGTGTAGACTATTTATGAAAACTTAGATTTGTTATTTCCTTCCACCTCTGAATACCAGAAATTAATATTTTAGAGACTGAATTCAACTGTTTTGAAAATTTGATCTTTAAACAGAATCCTGGCTGACTCAATCCCTATAGAGAGAATAGTTAAGAATACTTACCGCTTTTATTTCTCATGCCATCATAAAGTATAAAAATGTGTGAGAATATGAAACCGACTTATGTTAGTCTTTTGTAATAAATTTTGTATGTACAATTCTTTTGTCTTCCACGTTTCTTTAAATTCTAATTTGGAAGGTTGGCATTTCCAGTTCTTAAGGGCACAACACTTAATGTTTTTGTATCTGATTTGTACATGCCCAGATTTCAACAGCACTGTAATTGTTTCCTTTTACAGTTTACTGAAAGATCTGCCACAGTATTGCATGCTGCTTTTGTGTCTGGAAATAGAAGGAAACGTTAAAAAGAATGTGACAATTTTTTTCATTGTATGATGAAAATTATGAATTTTATATGTCACCATGATCTTTACCTATTGAAAACAAAACAAGAAAATAAAGTCTTCTCAAGAACACCAGTGTTTGACCAGTTTTGAAATTTACAGATCGTCACAGCTCACACAATGAAAAAAGTATGGGGGAGAACTATGAAAAAGATGATATTCAGAAAATGTTGTGTGTAATAATATTTTTTAATGTAGTTAGAAACGGTCCAAGATTCTGAGAGTACATTAAATATCTGTAACTTTAAGTTATTGGGACCTCAGCAGGCAGCTTTGGTGTGGTTGAAACTAAATTTTTGTAAATCAGCACATTTTTGCAGTCTCTCCAAAATAGTGGTAACATATGTTTCAGCTAAGATGTGAGAGCCTTGCAAAACCAGGTTCATCCTTGTGCAAACATTACCTTCACCTAAGCATTTGTGCTCTTAATGTATCTTTTCATAGTTCTGGGTGCATTGTTAGTGTTATAAAATACCAGGATTTGCTGCCCAAGGGCATTGTGAGATTTCCAAGCTTGGAAGTTTGGATTGTGAATGAAGAGCTGGTTCATGGCTGGGGAATTGGCTTGCTTTGGTGGAAGAAAAAATAGCAGCATTAATCCTTAATGAAAAGGGGATCAACTTCCAAATGGGCTCCTGGTTTTCTTATAGATTGAGAAAATACTTCTGCTGTGTCAAAGAACAAAGTAAATACTGTTAATTGCTCAATTAAGGACTGTATATGTATTGGATGCTCTTGAATGGTACTGGTTTTGCACTAGATGTATTGAATTTGGGAGGGATTAAGTTATCATCCTTTGTTTTGGTAAAGGATGAGCTATTGAGGTTTGTTTTTTTTTTTTTTTTTTATTCTAGGGTTGTTTGTTTTGAAAAGCATATGAATATATATATTTCAGGAGCTTTATCCAGTGGAGGAGCCAGAATAGAGGTACTTAGCTAGAGATTTTACCTGAGTCTTGGTTCAAAGCATTTACGATAATTTTATAGAAGTCTTAAGCACTGGAAGAGATCACACCTTAGTGTCCAGCATCCACACAGACTTTGAGCACATTGCTTGATATAACAACATAAATTTTATTTAATAAAATGATGCGCTCTGGTTGAGCTCAATTTATACTGCATTGCTGTCATGAGTAAAAATATCATAAATAAAATTCAGCCTAATTTCAGGCATGTTTATTATTCTTGGGGTGGAAAAAAAATAAAGTAAAATTTCCAAAAATCTTAACACCAACTTTTTTTATGTAAGTTTGTTGGCAGGTTGGTAAGATTTTGTGTGTGGGGGGGGGGAGGTTGTGCTTTATTTTTCTGGGTTTATTTAAAGATGAGAAGAATACTAACACATAGATTAATCTGGTGAATTCAGGTGGCATTTTAAATGGGAGTTTCTGTTACTGACTCCCTAAAGAGTGCTTTCATAAAGCCCTCCAGTGATCTCAATCTTTTGGATGCTTTAAGAAGCTTGCCTGAAAAGTGGCAAATGAAAGCATGAGGATATAAAAGTCATAGTTACAATATTTGCTTTTGTTGGTTTTGTTTTTATAAAATAGACCATTATTAATTCTAAGAAGGGGATATTATGTGACAGTGGAGTGTAGGTGGCAAATAATATTAATATACTTGGAGATGGTTTACCCTTACAAAGCTTTCATCATTTAAAAAAAGTAATATTAACATGAGATTTGTAAATGCAGCTCTAGATGTGTTCTCTAACATCAGATATTTTGATGTTAGTCAAAGGTTTAGGTTGCCTCTGACTTCTCAGCTCTGCATTAAGTCAGAAGCTGTGACGTCTTGATAATTGGGAGTTCAAGTAGTGACTTCTGCATCAGGATACTTATCTACAGTGCAGCAGGGCTGCCATTGCCTGTTTGAAATGTGACAGTAGGGAACATCAAGGGAAGAATCGTACTTTGAGGAGGAAGCAAGGCTGAATACTTCTTTTCCTTGTCATACTAGCTAAGAATTAATTGGTGAAATTTTGATAGCAACTGCAGAGTATATTTCACTTGGTGAGACATTGTAGTCATGTTTTGCTGATGATTTTTTTATCGTTTTCAATTTAGTATTTGATATGGAAAATAGCAAGGGGGTTTAAGGTACAGCTGCAGGAGAGAAGCTGGGACACTGCACAGGGAAATCAGAAAATGTCAGTGGTAGCAGTGGAGCTAATGGTGAGTCACATTTTGGGAACTTGTGTTAATATATAAAAAGTGATGGGAGGAATTCAGGTGCCTGTATGTGAATATCTAAAGTCATTTTAGGTGCCTGGGAATGTCAGAGACATCTGTTTAGGGCCGTAAGATACTGGAGCAGGCTGTAAGGGAGGTGGACTGTTCTGAACTGGGAGCTGGATGTCAGGCTAGATGCTGACTTTTCTGATATTTTTGTGTCTGAAATGGCAGTAGAAGCCTGTGTGTGGGCACTGAGTCACTACAATCACTGTTTCTTTTTAATCTTTAATTTTTGGTGTGGTTTAGGTTTTTTTAAGCCTGCAACCTCTTGATTAGCTCTTCCTCCTACTGAAAAAATAAAGATAATTATATGACAGAACTGTTGTACTGCTCACCCCCTTTGCATGATGATACTTTAACTGTACAGTAAATGTGACAGACCTTTTGTTTTCTTAGTTTATTTATAACTTTTTTGTGGGAGAGATAGCCTGTTTGTGCAGTGCCTGGTAAAATTGTTGCTGGGCTTTGTATGTCAAATGTAGATTTAAAATTTATTTTTTAACTGATTTTAGGGTTGGGTTTTAAATAATATCCGAATGTTGCAATTTCAGTTGTGTATGTTTACATGGTTTGTGGACATTTGGAATATGGGGAGTTTGGATGCCTAAATCTTCTTTGGAATTGTCCCTTAAACTGCAACCTGGATTTTAACCCTAAATTTAACAGTGGGAGTCACAGTCCTTCCTCCTTTTCCTCTCTTTTCTTTCTCTTGTTCCTCTTCTTGCATATCTAAAATGTACATAGTTTATGGTTTCTTTTGTCACTAGACATTCATGTGTGCCTGCAGTTCTTCATATTCCCAGAGCTGCTGTCATCTTAACTGAACTGGGTGTTTTGGCTTCTTTGCCAGTGTTTTTATGAACAAGGCATTTGTATATGTTGGTTATCTGATGGTTGTGGTGCTGTAGGCTCAGGTTGTGTCTAAAATATCCTGACAGCAGTGTGTTTATCTATATATGCTTACTTGCTAAAGGAGAAAGGATGATGCAATACTTCTACAGTCTATGTAAGCAATTTAAAGTGGAGCTAGATTGTTTGATTTAAATCTCTAAATCTAAACTAACTTCTCAGTGCTAAGTGTAGTGAAGTTCCTGCCAGCTTCTTCTTGTCTCTTTTTGGCTAATGTTCCACTTAGTTGGGAGTGCAGAAAAATTTCACTGGCTGCTTCTATGTGAGAAGAAAAGTTAGAACATTTGCCTGGGGAAGCCACTGGTCTTTGGTTTCTGCCTGGTAGAGAGTAGCCTAACCAGTAGGCTTTAGCTAATGCTAAACTGGAGTTTTTCCTCTGCTGTTACACAGCAGTCATGTAAGAAAAAGCCAGAGAATGCCATCATGTCATCTGCTGGTGAGGAGAAGGGTGATTGGAGGCGGATGAAGTCTTGTGTTTAGCCCATGACTTGTTCTGCATCCAGTGAAACTTAATTTAGGTGCAATGAATAATAATTCAGCTTCTGGAGCCATATGCGTATAAATTTGGTGCAGTGATACTACTGATTCTCTGAATTTAGTAGTCCACAGCTTTTTAGGAAGTCTGAAATGGTTCTTAATGGCCTGCCTTAACCAAGAAGCACCTTTTCTGTCTTACATATTAGAGGTTAAACACATATAATCAGTCAACAGAAGTTATGTTAAGTTGGAGTAGCGAGTTAACAACGTGCCGTGACATGCAGGCACGTCTGGATAAAGGTGGTGATAACTGATTTAAGAAATGGTGTTTCTCAGAGTTCTGTATGGCTGCCATTTAGATATCACTGTATTTCATAAGATTGAATAGTCTCCGTGTTCTGCTTATGTATATAAAGGATGAGGGTTATATTGTAAATAACTAGCATATGTAAAGTATGTAAATGTATATGGGTATTCTTATAATGTTACATATGAAGAAAAATGTATGCAGATAGAAGACTACTATGTATTCTATTCAAAATATATACTTAGACAATACCTAAAAATTAGAATAATGTCTGTAAGTTTCTGAGAACTAAAAAGATTAAGCATTTGACTTTTCATTGAAATGTACTGCATTTCAGTGCACATGTCTCCACAGCATTTTGTTGAGGAGAATGGCAGGTATTTGTACCCAACCAATAATTTATTGGCATATACAATTCATGCTTTCTAATGTCAATTAACTCTCATAACCTTTATTTATGCTTTGCCTTTTTTTTTTTCCTTTCCTGAAATACAGATAAGCTTTGTTATAGACGGATTTTAAATACTGTATGAAGATGGCAAGTCTGATGAGTCAGAGTCTGTTGACCTACGTAGAAGAAGGAAATGTTCCTGCTCTGAAAGCACTTCTTGAGAAATGCAGGGATGTAGATGAGAGAAATGAGGTAAGATGATTTTTTGAAAGGACAGTTTCATATTGCAGATTATTAGTTACAGAATGAACAATTAGTGATATCACAGTGGTTATTTAATACACAAATTTCACTTTTATTTTCAAGTGATTGCTTACCTTTGCACAGACTGAACACACAGTATTCAATCTCTGTCAGGACCTCAGCGTTTTTCATTGTATTTATTTTCAGAATGTTCTTCTGAGCTGGAAAATGCAGCTCCATTTACTTTGTGAATGGAGATTCTACCTGTATTTCTGCAGCTAGGGATTGTTTCTTAGTTCACAGATCCAGCTGCATATGCATTCTTGCCCTGTCCATTTGGGGGTGAAAACTGGGATGGTAACAAGTCTTCCCCCCCATCCTGGTTTCCAGGCAAGAGAAATTTTGTTATATGATCCAAATAGGAACATATTTTGCAATTTACTCCTAGTGGATGCTCATCCGGATGAAAAGGTGTATCCAAAAAGTAAGTCTAGATGTAACCGGGAGGATTAAATGACTTTGCCAGGATTACACATGAAGTCTTGATGCACAGTCGGTAGTTTAAATGTGGATTATTCGGAATCCTGGGATATTGCAATAATTGTTAGCTTCTGCTTTGTCATGTGATTTAGTCTGATTTGAGCATATCACCACCAGCAGTTTAAGTGAACATGCTGCAGTTTTGTTATACTGCACTAAAGATTCCTGAGAGTTTCCTGGGAGGTTTGATTCATGCAAATGTCTGTTGCTAGTGACTGTTACCATTGTTTTGCACGATGTTTAAAAGTCAGGTTATCTTGATGCACTATTAAGTCTTCTGTATATTTTACAAATAAGTTTAGATGATTTGACTAATTTATTTCATCTTCTGTCATATTTTCTGGTTTGTAAGCATCTGGACTTTTCTTTCATCTGGATGTACAGCTTGTATCATCAATTCTTATTTTAGTTCTGATTTTCTAAATAGAGTCGTGGAACTGGAACCTTGCCGACTTATGTAGTGTATTAATTGATTAGAATAATAGAAAAATTCACGATAGAAGGGACCTCTGGAAGTCATTGGATTCAGTCTCCTAATTGCAGGACTGAGTTCATTATCACATCATGTTGGTCAGGGACTCAAGCAAAATTTGAAAGTCCTCAAAAGGATGGAGAACCTGCAGTCTCTCTGGGCAGTTCTCCAGTGCTAAACCACTCTGTTTAAAAACGTTTTCCTTATGTTTTATTGGGATATTCTTTGCTGCATCTTGTGACTGTAGCTTCTTGGCTTCTTGTTGTGTCTCTGAGAAGAATCTGCCTCTTTTCTCAGATTGGGGTGACTCCCCCGGGAGGCAGTCCCTAGCCAGTACTGTTGCATGGGGTCCATCTGTTCCAGTCTCTGCATTTGCCTTTTTTGAACTGCAGGGGGGTTGTCAGCCCATTTCTCCAGCCTGTTGAATTTCCACTAAATGGCATCCCTGCCCTCCAGCATCAGCTACTCTCCACAGATTGGGGCAGTCTGTAAACTTCCTGGGAGTGCTTTCTGTTTAATGGTTCTGGATGTTGATGAAGATGCTACAATGTTAGCCCCAAATCAAACCCTCCCAACTGGGCACCAGTTACTGTGAAGAAGCTGACCATTACCCAGGCAGTTTGTTTACTCATCTTGTAGTGTATGGAAGACTAGCTTTGGAATTCATATCTCTCTTATTTTATTTTTTATTTTCCTTTTTTTTTTTTTTTTTGTTAAGTCAGTCTTGAGAAGTGCATGTTCTGTTGCATTATTATTTTAAACCTGCATAAGATGGAAAGAATGTTTTTGGAAAGAAGTTAAATGGTGTATATTATGTCAAAACCAAAAAGCATCATGAAAATGTGAAAACAATGTATGGAATTTAGCCTTACCGTAGTTATTAAATATGGTTTTGATTTAAGACAGTTTTCTTTCATTGTTAGCACATTCATTTTGTGCTGTGTGTGTGCATATGCTGAGGTATTTGAGATGGGGGAATTTTTAAGTTTCAGAGCATACACATGAACCTCACCACCTGACAGGCTGTGTATATGAGAAGAGGAATAGTCACTTCCCTCTGCTGGTAATTCCTCTCAGCAGCATGGCCAAAATCAGACACATAGTCTGTGTTGACCTTATCGACAGTGTCACTGCCTTCACTTTCTTTTCTGAATTTTTCTTCTCCTCTTGATGGGACTAAGTGCACTCCTGGGTTTCAGTAACTGCCTTTTTTGCAGAGATTGTTTCTGATACTGATTTTTTTCAGACTTCTGATATATTGCACTGGAGAAGGTAGTTTCTAGAGACAAGCATGGTTTGCATCAGTGTTAAACCCATGGCGGAGGGCTGTCTGTGCATACCAATGATAGGAGTTTTATTTAAGTCTTAGCTCTTAATTGGAATTCAGTAGCATCGAGTACAATTCTGTTTCTAGTTTTGGACCTGCCGAGACATCTTTTCTTCTTGGGTAAAAAATACCAAAACAGGAGTACCAGTGGAGTAGGTATAAAAAGATTGCTGACAAGCCAAGGTTTGCTGGTGCCAGGACCTCAAAGGTTGCAGTGACTTGTCCAATGGTAGGATCACCCACATTGTTACCAACCCTTTATATCATGACTGTGATCAGTTGCCAGAAAAACTAGGATGTTCCAGTCCGTTTATGTATGGATGGTTTTGTTGGATTTACACCAGCAGTTTCAGTTAAGTGGAGCAAGGGTCAGTCTCTCTGCCTTTTCCCTGTGCGTCCTTTCTCCTGTGCACTTTCTCCTCTCTCATACCAGATACATTGATTACTTAGCAGTTAGTGATAGATGCTTCCCTTGTGTGATGCACTTTGATCTTGACAGCCTCCGGTTTCCTTTGACGTGCTTTTCTTTCTGCTCTTCTGCTCTTGATACTGAAGTACTTTCGGCATCTTGAATTGTGAATCATCTGTTGTCTTACAGACTAGAGAGAGCCAATTTGTAAAGTAACACCACTGAATGATTTCACTAAAAAGATGCAAGTGTGCCCCTTTAATTTGGATATTCCAGTACTCATTTAGCTGTGATGTACAGATCCACAGTACTTGATGTGCTCATAAGAAATATGAGCATTTAGTTGTTGTGGAATGTCTAAACTCTTGGACAACTTTTGAGAATTAATCTGGATGTCACAGGTGTAGTAATTATCTTTTGTTTCTGTGTTGGTGAAATCTTCATGATTTGCTGAAATGTTGAACCTGTATTTGAGAATCTTCTAGCAAAAAGGGAAGAATGTTTTCGGTACCCCAATAGAAAAGTTTTACATCTGTCTAAGAATACCAGAGCCAGCCTACAACTGTATGACACTTGTTACAAGAGGGGATCATTTTCCCATCCACAACCTCCTCTTGCCCAGAGATACTTTTGTTCAGTTTGTGTTACCCTTTTGTGTTACCTGCTTGTGGAAGACGATCACAGTGATAACCATAGTAAATGTTCAGAAGGAGGTGAGAAGAAATCTCATGTTTAAATAGGGATTTTTGTATGTGTTGCTAAATCACTGCTTGGAAGGGACCTCTAGAGACTGTCTAGTCCTGTGTCGTGAGGTGGGTTGGTTGGTGTCAGCTGGAATCCAGCACAGGGCAGTCCCAGCCTCTTTTCCGTGGACACCCCGTATAGCTCCATTGATACCAAAACCTGGACACCTACGTGCAGTATGGTGAGGTTTCTGTCTGCCCATTTCTCCAGCCTGTCAGGGTCCTTTGGGATGGCAGCACAGGTATCTGGTTCATCAGTCTCTCTTCCCAACTTTCTATTGGCTGCAAAGGTGCTGAGGGTGCACTCTGACCCGTTGCCCAGGTCCTTAATGAAGGGGTTAAAGAGAACATCAGTATTGACCCCTGTGGTTCTGCAGTAGTGACTGATCTGCAGCTAGACACTGTGCTGCTGATCACAACTATCTGAGCCCCGTTCAGCCAGTTTCAGTCCACCTCACTGTCCATTTTGTCTGTGTGGATGTTGTAGGAGACTGTCTAAATCCTTGCTAGGGATGGGATAAAGAGTGTCTCAGCTCTTCATCCACTGAGCCAACGATGTCATTGCAGAAGGCAGTCATATTGGTCAGGCATGATTTCCCAGATCTCTTGGCATGTGCATTCCCAAAATACTAGCTTGCATAAAAAGAACTCGTCTTAAAGAGCAAAAGCATCAGCTGCTCTCTCCTCTGAAGAGAGCTGTTCTCTTCTAGAAAGTAGTATTTTCCTTCCTCTTGATTTTTTTGATTTTTTTATGACCAGACCTAAATACTACTGCATGTTGATACAAAAGATACTTCATGATCTAAAAACAAAGGTATAAATTTGAATGCATACAATGTCTAAGTTTATGTTGTTATAACTATATGAGTGCATAATTTCTCCCTGCTAAAAATTGCACTGTTAGATACCCTGTTGTATCCTGTCATGAGTAATACTGCTGGATATCCATAATGTCATGAGAGGATTCTGTGAAGACTAGTTAGGAACTAGTTGGTGAACTAGAAGGCTTTTTTTGAAAGAATAAGTGTATTTCTGTGATTTGTATTTTTTCATTTATTACTTTTTTTTAATACATAAAGAGCAGAAAGAACTCATCAAATATCTTTATTAGTATTACTGTTAACTGTTTTACTAATGCAGATTAATGATCTTACTATATTCTGATTCTGCATTGATTTTTATTCTTTTCAGGGAAATTTCTGGTATATAACCCCTAACATGTAGCATTTGCGTTACTTAGAGACTAGATAATTTGAGTTTTCTATATGGTACAGACAAAAGACAAGAAGTGAGGTCAGGAAAAATTCTCTTCATCTATTAAGCTTGTTGAAATTAACAAATTTACTGTCAAATTAGGAAGTTATACTTTTCATCATGCAGAGCAGTTGTATCTCAGAAGTTTGTTGACAGAAATAGGCTGATAGAAAGGTGACAGATTGTAACTGACTTCTAAAACATCCTTGAAGGCAAACAAACCAGCTTTTCCATCTTTCATCTTCCCTGAGATGAGGCTGTCTGTTAAGAACCTATATTGCACGGGGCAAGAATGCTGTCTGGATTTGGTATACTGTCAGATGAAAGTGTGGTATATAACTTGACTTTTTTTTTTTTTTCCAAGACTTCAGCAAGAAATCTTACTGCTACTCTGAATCTGTGTGCATGTTTTAATGGCTGTTGTGGTTCCTAAGCTAGATTTATTTATTTATTTCTAAACAATGTGACTGAGTTACTTCAAGATGTAAAGATGTAACAGGCTGTATTAGAAATGTCTTCAGTGGGCAAATTATTTAGAAAGAAGTTTAACAATGTAACTTTTTTTTTTTTGGTAGCCATTTTTATTGTCTGATACTTATTTTTTTGTTTCATTTGGGTTTTTTATCTCTTATGGGACAGGGTTTAATATCATGTTCTCCATTTTTATTGCAAGTTTACTGCATGGTTTGAAAACCAGTCCTTCTTACTGCTGCTTGCTGACAATTAAAAACTGGAAACAACTTCATGTTCCCCTGTAGTTTTTTGCCTTTAATTGTTGATATATGTGCATCATTTTCATCAGTTCCCAATGCATCACTTTTCCTATCATTTTGATTTCAGAATGGCCAGACTCCACTCATGTTGGCTGCTGAGCAAGGCAATTTAGAAATTGTCCAGGAGCTTCTCAAGAAGGGAGCTAATTGCAATTTGGAAGATGCAGTAAGTATTAGTGCTTTATTTGATGGTACCTAGCAATAGAGGCAGAAGAAATTTCAAGAGGCAGTCAGAGAAAAGGAATTTGTTAATGTTGAGGGGAGGAGACAAAAAAATGAAGGTGGAAAATTATAACATATAAGAGAAATTTTATCTGAAATTGTTTGACTCTGTGTTCCTCTGATTCAATACCTCGTAAAGAATAGGGATATTTAACATGTTTTAAATGTCTGAGAGTCTCTGCTGAATCCTGGTGCTGTTTCTTCTGGGAAGCTAGTGCTAAGAAGCAGTAGTAATAGGATTGGCAGTTGTTGACATAAAAAGTTAGGTAGAATAGAGAAATACAGCATCAGAAATGAGGTCCAAGTAATTTTGCTTGTCTTGGTTATGTTGTGGTATGTGAAGATTTTTTAAATTTTTTTAATTTTTTTTTTTTTGCTTGGTTTTGGTGTTTTTCAGTAAATACTGATGGAGAGTATAGGTTAAAGGATTATTTCAGATGAAAGCCAGAAGAGTGGCACAGGAGCGTTTCAAATGTGTGAATTGTCTTCCTGCCTTTGCAGGAGAGGTTGACTCTGGGTGAAAGATGCCCAGAAAGGGTGAGTGGAACAGAGGTAATGTTAAAAAGTTTTGAAAGGTCTGTACGTTGTTGTGGGATGGAAATCTCAATCCATCCCACTTCTGCCAGTTTGATGACAGTGTTAGCAGTGGATGCCCAGAGCCTGGAGAGGGGTCACAGGTCAGCAGAAGAACACCTGAAGAGCACAAATGAATCCCAGCCACTCAGCTTCATCAGGGGCTCCATTTAAAACACCTCTATGCAAACACACCCAGCATGGGGAATAAACAAGAGGAGCTAGAGATGTGCACATACCTGCAGGCCTACGATCTTATTGGCATCATGGACATGTGGTAGGATGGCTCCTATGGCTGGAGTGTTGGAATGGAAGGATACAGGCCCTTTAGGAAGGACAGGCATGGGAGATGAGGATGGAGTGTCTCCTTCTGTGTCAGTGACCAGCTGGAGTGCATGGAGCTCTGCCTGGGGATGGGTGAGGAGCTGACCGAGAGCTTATGGGTCAGGATTAAAGGGAGGGCAGAGATAGGTGATGGTATAGTGGGGGTCTGCTACAGGCCACCTGACCTGGAAGACTGAGTGGATGAAGCTCTCCATAGGCAGATAGGAGCAGCTTCACAGTCACAAGCCCTGGTCCTTATGGGAGTCTTCAGCCACCCCGATATCTCTTGGAGGGACAACACAACAAGGCATAAGCAATCCAGGAGATTCATGAAATGCATTGATGCTAACTTCCTTCTCCTAGTGATAGAGGAAACAAGGAGGAGAGGTGCTATGCTGAACTTTGATCTCACCAGCAGGGAGAGGCTGGTGGGGAATGTAAAGCTCAAGGGCAGCCTGGGCTGCAATGACCATGAAGTGGTGGCGTTCAAGATCCTTAGGGCAGCAAGGAGAGCATGCAGCAATCTCACTACCCTGGACATCAGGAGAGCAGATTCTGGTTTATTCAGGGATCTGCTTGATAGAGCACCATGGGATAAAGCCCTGGAGGGAAGAGGGGCCCAAGAAAGCTGGTTAATATTCAAGGAAAACCTCCTCCAAGCTCAGAAGTGATGTATGCTGATAAAGAGGAAGTCAGGCAGAAACACCAGGAGGACTGTGTGAATGAACAAACTGCTCCTGGACAAGCTCAAACACAGAAGGGAAGCCTACAGAGGGTGGAAGCAAGGACAGGTAGCCTGGGAGGAATACAGACAAATTGTCCAAGCAGCCAGGGATCAGGTTAGAACAGTCAAAGCCCTGATAGAATTAAATCTGCCCAGGGGCATCAAGGGAGGCAAGAAAAGCTTCTATAATGGTGATAAAAGAAAGAGTAGTGAAAATGTAGGACCCCTCTGGAAGGAAATAGGAGACCTGGTTACCTGGGATATGGAGAAGGTTGAGGTATTCAGTGACTTTTTTGCCTCAGTCTTCACTGGCAAGGGCTCCATCCACACCGCCCAGGTTGCAGAAGTCAAAGGCAGGGGCTGGGAGAATGAAGAACCGCCCACTGTAGGAGAAGATCAGGTTCAAGACCTAAGGAACCTGAAGGTGCACAAGTCCGTGGAACCTGATGAGATGCATCTGTGGGTCCCGAGGGAACTGGTGGATGAAGTTGCTACGCCACTACCCATCATATTTGAGAAGTTGTGACAGTCCGGTGAAGTTCCCACTGACTGGAAAATGAGAAACATAAGCCCCATTTTTAAAAGGGGAAAATAGGAACAACCAGGGAACTACGGGTCAGTCAGTCTCATCTCTGTGCCCAGCAAGATCATGGAGCAGATCCTCCAGGAGCTATGCTAGGGCACATGGAAAATAAGGAGGGGATTGGTGACGGCCAACATGGCTTCACTAAGGGCAAATCGTACCTGGCAAATTTGGTGACCTTCTGCGATGGGGTTACAGCGTTGGTGGGTAAGGGAAGAGCAACCGATGTCATCTACCTGGACTCAGGCAAAGCATTTGACACTGTCCCTCATGACATCCTTGTCTCTAAATTGGAGATACGTGGATTTGGTGGGTGGACCACACAGTGGATAAGGAATTGGCTGGATGGTCTCACTCAAAGAGTTGTGGTCAACGGCTCCATGTCCAGGTGGAGAGCAGTGACAAGTGGCATTTCTCAGGGGTCGGTATTGGGACTGGTGCTGTTTAACGTCTTTGTTGGTGACATGGACATTGGGATTCAGTGCACCCTCAGCAAGTTTGCCAACACCACCGAGCTGTGTGCTGCGGTCAACATGTTGGAGGGAAGGGATGTTGTCCAGAGGGACCTGGACAGGCATTAGAGGTGGGCCCATGCAAACCTCTTGGAGTTCAACAAGGCCAAGTGCAAGGTCCTGATAATAGGTTAGGGCAATCCCAAACACAAATACAGGCTGTGCAATGAGTGGATTGAGGACTGCCCTGCAGAGAAGGACCTGGGGGTATTAGTGGATGGAAAACTGACTATGAGCCAGCAATGTGTGCTTGTAGCCAAGAAAGCCAACCATATCCTGGGCTGCATCCAAAGAAGCATGGGCAGCAGGTCAAGGGAGGCTGTTTTGTCCATCTACTCAACTCTTGTGAGACCCCATGTAGAGTACTCTGTTCAACTCTGGGGCTCCCATCACAAGAAGGACATGGACCTGCTCAAGTGGGTATAGAGGAGGGTCACAGAGATGATCAGGGGGCTGGAGCACCTCCACTGTGAGAAGAGTCTGAAAGAGTTGGGGTTGTTCAGCCTGGAGAAGTGTCTAGGGAGGCATTATAGCGACCTTCCAGTACTTAAAGGGGGCTACAGGAAAGATGGGGAGGGACTCTTAATCAGGGAGTGTAGGGATAGGATGAGGGATAATGGCTTTAAACTGAAAGAGGTTAGATTTAGGTCAGATACAAGGAATAAATTCTTCTCTGTGAGGGTGGTGAGACACTGGCACAGGTTGCCCAGAGAAGCTGTGGCTGCCCCCTCCCTGGAAGGGTTCAAGGCCAGGTTGGACGGGGCTTTGAGCAACCTGGTCTGGTGGAAGGTGTCCCTGCCCATGGCAGGGGGGTTGGAATTAGATGATCTCTAAGGTCCCTTCCAACCCAAACCATTCTGTGATTCTGTAATATTCCAATGAAGAGTGATAAACAGGAAAAGGTTGTTACTTGTGGGTCTTCTGCATTTAGTTTAATTGTAGCAATGTAGACATCTAGGAAATGTCTGTTATGAAACCTATCATATAAAAAAAAAAGAAAAGTGCCTTTCTCTGGAGACATTTTATTATATTTGCTGTAATTGTTACTGTTCCTATGCTTATAGGAAGAACAGTTACCATATAAACTGTTGCTATGTTGATACATGAATAGCACATAAAACAGTACTCCATACCAGGACATGATTTGAGCAGTGAATGGAAGGATAAGTGTAAGGCAAGAGGAAATGTATCTTCTGAATAGACCATAAGTCTAAGAAGCTGTGGTCCAAAGTCTTCTGCATATTAGACCCTTGGGTGCTGTCACCCACTGTGTGTGGAGACAGATCACCACCATTTTCTGTAGTGTTGGTTGCCATCTTGTCCCCACCCATCAATTCTCAATGTTTTAACCTCATTCTCTAATCCTTTGTAGGTGTTGCTTCCTCCATAAAATGTTTAAGAAGTTAACGTGCAGTGAACTGAGGAGTGGAGAGTGATGGATGTTGGGTAGGAAAGGAGATAACTGGAGGGGCAATTTGGAGTAGTTGTTGTTCTATATTTTTATGTTTATATGTGTATAACTGACAGTCTGTGAGTTTATTACCTGTTTACTTTTTTTCTTTTTAAAGGACAGCTTTTTTAAGGGATTGTGAATTTCCTGTTGTAGCTTAAATGCTTGAAAAACAAGGTAATTGAATTGAAATATCAAATACCACTTAAAAATTTTAGTTTGTTTTTTTTTTTTTCTAGGATAACTGGACAGCTCTTATTTCAGCAGCCAAAGAAGGACATGCAGCTATTGTAGCAGAGCTACTCAATTATAATGTCAGTTTGGAGCATCGGGATTTGGTATGTATTGTCCTAGTGTAAAAATAAAATAGTTTTTAGTAAGAACAATAATTATGAAGTTGGAGATTTTCAGATCTGTAAAAGAAAGATCATTTATTCTTAAATTATGCACTCAGTACTGTTAAAATGGAAAAGAGCATATATTTAAATATTGTTTTTACAGCTGTAAAGTAGTTGCTTTAACGTTAATAAAGACAATTTGTTTTATAGGTTGTTTTTTTTTTCTTATAATTTGCTTTGGAAAAAAGCTAAACTGAAGAATACTTTGATTTATGGGTGTGTTTTGTGTGGGCAGGGTTTTGGGGGAGTACGGTTGGTTTGTTGGGGGGTTTTTTGCTGTTGGTGTCTTTTTTTTTTAATATGAAATTTAAATTTTAAATGTTAACTTTTTCCAAAAGATACCTGTCCATATTTCCTTTTTCTCTGGACAACTGTGATTATTCATATAGCAGTCCTTGTTCTCGATATCTTGGAATTTGTTTTCAGGCATCTTGCCAAATTTTTTCTGTTGGAAAGTGGGTGCTATGGTCCAGTCCACCTAAAGAAACACAGAAGCTGCTCACATGATTAGAAGGTTAGATGCCTCTGAAGAGCTATAGACCTGTCTCTGTTGACTGAAGAGGGAACTGGGTACCTGCAAGGATTAATTTTGTTCTGCTTAAGTTAGAGTATGGAAAACCACTAGGGGAGTGTTCAAGTGCTTCCTTTAATTGAAGTTCCACTATGAAGGCTGAGGCATCTTACCATGTCCTGTTAATCTAGGTTTTTAATAAGTGTAATGTTAAGCACATCCACATGGGCTGTGTTTGATTTCTAGGCCTGTGTCAGTCTGAGAGGGATCTTTTACCTCTCCAAAAGTGTATTGTAAATAAATAAACAAAAATTTTGATTACAGTTATCAGAGGCTTGTTATTTTTAAATTGATTTTGATTACCTGACCTGTCAAATGCCTTAGGCAGTGAAAACTTATTGTCTCCTAGTTTATAAACTTGAATAAACACACCAATGCAGTTTGAAATTAATTGCTCTTCTTACTCCCTTAAGAGGATATATGATTTGCTTCTTCATGAAAAAGTTTACATAGTTACTTTATTACATAGTTACTCTATGAAGGCCAGCTGTCTATTACACAAATCAAAAGTAAATGCTTCATGTTAGTTTATTTGGATTCTAGATTTTTGTTTTAAGATAGTGCTCTCTTTTTGGTTTGTTTATCCAGTGATCAGCTTTGTATGCACTTGAAGTCTGAACCGAGTGTTTACAGCAAATTCAGCAACATTTAGTACACTATATATTCTCCCATTTTGCATACAGCAGCAAGTTAGTACTTTCATATGTGTGCTTATTATTTATCCTACATAAGTAGGATTACAAAGCTGTGTAGTCAATCCTTACTGTATTTTGGACTTGCAAAACAGCCTTAAAACAAATACAACATGAAATAAAAGTCACTAATTATGTTTCTAAAGAGTATTTTTTCAGGTTTTACTTTTCTTTGAATTCTGCTCTCAGGGAGGATGGACTGCTCTAATGTGGGCATCATATAAAGGCCGTACTGAAGTAGCTAAACTGCTGCTTGAGAAAGGAGCAAATCCAAACATCACAGGAATGGTAAGTTTTAATCTTAACCCACCCCCCAAAATGTTTGAAATCCTGAACTGTACATTCTTCTTACTATCTTGATTAAATATTTTGCATTTTTTGCAATATAACATTAATCACTATGCTTTATTTATAAAGAGATTGCTTTAATAATCTATATGACAGCCACTGGTTTCTGGATTCATTTAAAATTGTTTTCATTAAAGCGTATGAGTGTTTAGCTCTTAATATTCAAATTAGCAGGAGAGGAAGTAACAGAAAAGGTAAGTAATGAATCTAAAGCTACTTGTAGAACAACTAATTTTTCTGGGTCTGTAGAAGTTAATGGAATAACTAATATGTGCAATTTAGAAACAATAATGTGTTTTGGTTTTTTTCGTAATAGCTACCAAATGGGCTAAATTATATAAATATGTACCATACATGTGTGAGAGAATAAAAGAAACTAAAATTTTTGAGATTTATTTAATTTTATAAGCATTTTGTATAGAAGTGTGAGCATGTTGAAACTTGAATGAACAATTTGTTTATACTGTCAGCTCTCTGGTGTTTGACACGACAGTGAACCATCAGGGAAGAACATTAATGACTTACCTTTCCCAGTGTCAATTCATCTGGTTTGCATATGCAGCTTCTGCATGCATGACACGACTGAGCTGCAGTCCTGATTACGTGGGGATATTATGTAGCTGTCTGTTGCTTTTCTCTTACATTACAAATGTTTGTATTAAGATGAAGATGTGAATTTTCAAACCCTGGTCAAGGAGTTATAAAACAAAATTGATGCAAAACAGTAGACCTCTTCCTAAATATCTAGACATGGTACTAGGCAACAGTTACTGATATGTAGTTAGATTTATTTCTGTATATTCCTTTTTCTATGGGTTTATTTCTTTTGGATCATTGTGATCAATATTGTTCATGAAAGCTAATTAAGACTATGTTTTTGGTTTTGTTTTGTTTTTTTTTTTTTAATTCTAAGCAATACAGTGTTTATCCAATTATTTGGGCCGCAGGACGAGGCCACTCAGATATAGTACATCTCTTATTGCAACATGGAGCTAAAGTGAACTGTTCTGACAAGGTAAGTTACATTTATATAATATTTAATTTCTTTAATGGTTGATACATTCTTTGTAAAAGAAAGCTTTATTTAAAAAAACCCCAAATCTATGAGTTTTTTATTGGAAAAACACTTTTTTATTTCATCCATGAGATTAGAATTAGTGTGCTAGAGTAGGTCTTTATATTTGCAGGAGGTTATATAATATGCTGAAGATGGTTGTGAACATTTATTTCAGTGGAGCATATTTCTAAGATATTGGAAACCTGCTATCCTAGGTTACATAGAAAAATAATTTTTACAGCTATCATCTGCAAAGGAAAAATTAAAATGGCTTTTCAAATGCTGTGTCAAATTCACAAGACCAAATTATGTATTTGTAAAAACTAAAGCAGTAAAGTATAGGATGAATACTATATTGTCCGGGGATACTAAAACCAAAGAGCAATATGATAAAGTGTTACAAATGTTTTTTCAGTATGGAACCACCCCACTGGTTTGGGCAGCAAGGAAAGGTCATTTGGAGTGTGTGAAATACTTGCTGCAGATGGGAGCTGATGTTGATCAAGAAGGAGCTGTAAGTAACTGTTCGTTTTCTGGTGATAGGATGTGGGTACATACATCTGTGTGTTCTGCTTTACTTTATAATACAAATACCAAGAAATACATAAAACCAAGATGAAATATTAATGTTGGAACATAGTACTTTTCAGCTACTTGCAAACTACATGTGAGGATTATTTAAACTTCTTTGTGCCTGTATTGACAGCTGACATGCTGCTATGTAAAGTGTAAATTTTAATGAACGTAAATTTGGGTTATTCTTCTCTGAAGGTTAACACTGTCGCAATTTGTTCTCTACCCAAGCCTGATATGTCAAACAACTTGTTCCTTGGCACTATTTGAAAAGTAAATCAAACACAAAGCATCTTTTGAAAATAATAATGGCTGTTGTGCCTTTTCAGAAGTTGGAAATTTTTTAGTGGTCTTCAGCTGCATAATGGTTATAAATAAAACAGATTTTAATTTTTTATTGTATAGGACACTTAAAATGCTTATCAAAATAAAAAGGAATCAGTAAAAATTAAGTGGAAAATCAGGACGGCTTTGGTATTCGTATGATTTTTTTCTGAAGTTCTTCAGAAAAAACTTTGAGTGGTATTGGCAGGTCTGGGTGCTCTGATAATGCTGTGTTCCCATATGTCAAGGAAATTATTTTACCATCGTGTGACATTCAAGAGTTAAAATAAACTGATCAAATGCAAATAATAAAGCTCAGAAGTCTTCTCTGCTATAGTACTTGGTTTATTTCTTTTTTAAAAAAGCATAGTAAGTTCACTTTAAAACATAAAACTGAAGTAACATTTGAATAGTTAAGAAAGTAATGTCAGTGAATGTTCTTTTGTTACTTAAACTGCTGATATAATGAAGTTTTCTATATCCACTGTGCAATAAAATCTATTGTTTTTGTTTAAAGAATTCTATGACTGCGCTTATTGTAGCAGTGAAGGGTGGCTATACTGATTCAGTAAAAGAGATACTGAAAAGGAACCCAAATGTAAACTTAACAGATAAAGATGGAAATACGGCTTTGATGATTGCATCAAAGGAGGGACATACTGAAATTGTGCAGGATCTTCTTGATGCTGGAACTTATGTGAACATTCCTGATAGAGTGAGTAAATTTTCATCATAATTGTGGTTTTAGATATATGTAATAATAATTATATATATATATATATATATATATATATATATATATATATATATATATATATTTATTTAAAAACCAGTGTATGCAAATCTGGGGTAGGTGATTTTTTTGGCTTGAATTTTTCTGCCACCTAGGGGTATTTTTATGTATTGCTATTTTACAAGTGTGTTGTGGCAAATGTTGCTTTGTGAATGCAAAGGATAAACTGCAGAAACTACTCTTTTTCTTTGAGATTCTTGAATTGTGAGTTTTCATGGGGCATGGAAATGATTTATGGTTGTGTATTTGTCATATCTGTAACATAAGACTAATACTGAACTAACTTCGAGGTTTGGGGTGAGGTTTTTGTGTATTAAAACACTTGGTAATGCTGTTAACATTATATAACAATGGATATTACAAAAAAAAAGTATAGTTTGTTCAGCATCTACCTTTATCTTTCACAATGAAACTTTTTACTAGGAAACATGCATATTAAATGAGGACCAGCTCTGGGTTAAGACATATGAATGTAACTGTTGAAAGGTGCACTGTGTACCTGAGCTGTGATTGCATTATTCAATCGAGACATGCAGTATGGGCAGTGCCCAGAGTGTGAATCTTTTATGATGAAACAGGAAAAATAAATGTAGCTAAAAGTATAAATAATAAAAGTATAGCTAAATCACAGGTGTGGAATTAAATAGAAAGCTCAGTAGTAGTAGATCGTTTATCAATCACATTCATTACGTACCTGGCTGAAAACCAAGAAATTTTCCTTATCAGAACCTACTCTAGCATCTGAAACTAAGACTACTCGTTGTTTGATGTATTTTTGCAATACAGTCAGTACTGAAAGCTGTAATTTGTCCTTCCTAAAAGCACAGGAATGCAGACAGTTGCAGAATTTTGTGACAGAAGAGGTAGGAAGGGAGATTGCAATGTATTTTCTTAAATATTCAAAGTTTTGCTTTGATATGTGGTTGATATCAAATTCGTTGTCACATGCAACACTGCAGCTCAGTACATAACTATCTAAGAAGTGCACTAAGCTGATTCCTGACATGTAGGAAAATGCATCCAAAAATCCTTTCTAAATTACGAGGCAAATATTAGGAGGTTTTCCTCTCTTCTCTGCAACCCCAAGCAATTCCGTTTAGGGGTTGGGAATTCAGCCTCAAAACCATATTACTTCTCTGAACTAAAACACTGATCTTGACAGAGGTGCTTAAGTTTAGGTATCTAACCACCTAAGAGCCCCAAAGGTGCAGTGCTTGGCCTGCTTCCGACACTTCATCAAAACCTGACCATCAAGAGGTCACTGCAGACAGTCCTATGCAGTGATAGAAGCAACCAGATAAATCACTCAGAATTGCAATTTTGTTTTACATATATACAACTCCGTTTACCACAGCAAAATTTTTTTATTTTGATCAATTTGAGGTAAAAGCAGCCTTTTACTTATTTTCTTTATAACAGCATACTGTATGTAAACAGGATAGCAGTCAAATCTTCACAAAAAAAAAAAAGGGATAAAAGTCTTTAAAATTCTTGAAGATCTTTTGCCAACTGTGAAATATCTAAAGGAGAAAGCCAGCGTTCTTCTCTGATTGTAAAGAGGTTGTTACTGTGAGTGGTTGGTCTTCCTATGAACACAGAGAACAGCTGGATTTTTTCATATTGATTATTAATTTGTGCTGTTATTTTTCAGGATAGTGGCTTAAGCCGGACTTAATTTTGGGGGTGTTTGTTTTGCCATAAATATATAAGATTTCATCTCTGAAAAAAAATATGAGAAATTGGAGTCCATAGTTTTTTTCTTCTATATACTGTCGTGGTTTAGGCCTGAATGGCAGCCAACCACAATGCAGCAGCTCTCTCTCCCTTCCCCTCCGGCAATGAGAAGGGACAGAGAGCCAGGCTTGGGGTTCAAGATAGGACTGGGATGGGGAAAAATCCCCCTTTTATGATCACGAGCAAAAGGCAGACTCGTTAGGGGAAGAAAAAAAGAACATACATTTATTACAGACACTAACAACACATAACAGAGTAAGACAGTGAGAAGCATTGCCACATCTTGAGAACACCTTCCCTTCCCCCCATACCTCCCTTCTTCCCGGGCTCAGCTCTGCTCCCGATATCTCTACCTCCTCCCCCAGTGGCACAGGGGCAGGGAATGGGGGGTGCAGTCAGTGCTGCCACTTCCTTCATGTTCGGTGAGGGGAGTGTCCAAAACTTGTTCCTCCTGCTCCATCGTGGTCCCCCTCTCACAGGAGACAGTCCTCCACAAACTTTCTCTGACATGAATTCCTCCCATGGGCCGCAGCGTTCCCCACACTGCTCCGTCATGGGTCACTAACTTCCTCCGACTGGATTCCCTCCCACGGCTGCAGCCCTTCCCGAGCTGCTCCGGTGTGGGACTCCCCCGCATGCTGCAATCCTCCCAGCACTGAATTACAGCAGCAGGGCTGCCTTTTTCCATGAGACCCCGGCCTTCTTCGGGCACAGAACCTTGATCAGCCGAGCAGGAACAACAGGCCGTAAATCAATGTCTGCTCCACCGTAGATCTTCATGGGTGGCGGGGGGGGCCGCCCTGCCGTCTCACCACAGGATACAGGGGGCTCTCTGCTCTGGCACACCTCCCCCCTCCTTTCTTCCTCCGTTCCTCCACTGACCTTGGTGTTCATGCAGCTGCAGCAACTCCTCCTCACAAGTCCAACTGCCCGTCACCACGTCCCTTCTTAAATACGTTATCGCAGAGGCGCAGCTTATTGGCTCAATTTCCCAAACAGAAGTGGAGCTGACTTGGAGCTGGAGGAGCTTCGAGAAGCTTCTCGCAGGGGGCCGCCCCTATAGCCCCCTCCCCTGCCACCAAAAAACTCCATCACTCACTCAACCCAGGACATATACCCATTTTTCACACATCAAACTATTTTTTGTATCTTTCTTTAAAATGAGTGCAGATTTCTTAATGTAAATAGGCATAATGTGTATTTTGAGGCTATAGTTTATTCCATGTTGCATTTCTTTTTACTAAATATTATTAATTCATCTTCAATATTCTTTCACAATTTTTCTAGAGTGGAGATACAGTGCTGATTGGGGCTGTTAGAGGAGGTCATGTTGAAATTGTGAGGGCCCTGCTCCATAAATACGCTGATATAGATATCAGAGGCCAGGTAAGTACAGCAGTGGAAATGTTAGAGTAGTTCTTAAAGAGGATGTGAATTTGACTATCAATTATGCAGTGTTTCTAAAAACAGGGCTTTAAAAACTTGCTCAGTTTACTCTGTAGGAAACTCAGATTCCCATCAGATGTTAAAACATCATGTTGCTGTGCAGTTTTTGAGTTAAAGACATGTCATTGTAATGACTTGTTAAGCAGCATTTTTTTTTCAGTTAATTTGTATGATGGTTGAAAAATAAAAGATGTAAATTGAACTTATTTCATCTGCACTACTGAACAGATTTAAAATAATGAAATACTTTGAAAAACACCTTAATATTATTTTAATATTCAATATTTAAAATTTAATAGCAATATATTTAAATACAATATACTTTAGATTGTATCTCTTGTCAGTGCAGTTCTGTCACTATGCTTTTGGTTGGTCCTTGTCTCCTTCACAAACTTCCTGTCTTGCATTAAGCAGTGTTGTCAGAGATTTTCATGTTTTCTACCTACCCCTTCTTTCTATTTTTGTCCTTTGATTAAGGTATTGTTTTTATTCTTTTACCGAAAGCTCTCTTACTCAGCATGGTACTTGTTTTTATTGTTATATTCAACTTTCTTTTGCGCAAAGCTGTTCAAATCGCGCTGCTTACAGGCATGTATGTACTGCTAAGTTTGAACACAAAACTAACTAGTCACTGAGAGCTGCAAAGATTCAGTGCCTGCTGTTGGTGCAGAGCCTCTCTGAGAAGCCAGGAAGCTTTTAGTTTGGAGAAAAAGTAGTGTTTGGATCTCTTTGTCTAACCTGCCACTGGAAGCCTGGAACTGTGTGTCTCAGCTTCTTGCTGATGTGAGTCTGAAAATCTGGAGCTTTTTAACATCTTGATATGACTAAGGTAATACAGAAACAGCAAGAGGACCCAACCTCCTTGGGAACGGGGAAGCTTGTGACTTCTGACAGTGTGAGGGTGTCTGTATAGCCATTTGCAGTGGTTAATCTAGAGGATACATTTGTGGCCTTGTTGACACAAGAGGAGCGAGACCATCAGAGGAAGATTCTGAATGTGCGATTCAGAGCTTCACATTAGGACCCCCAGTATCAGAATCAGAGATGAGCACTAGTATTTAGCAACTCTGCTGCTGTTCAGGCCTGTTCTGGGGAGATTTGCTGCCTGCCCAGATCTGTGATGTTCCAGAAAGACTGGTGTGTCTTGTCCAGCCTTCCAGTGTTCCTTGCTGCTCATTCAATCATATGGCCACTAGTCAGGGGAGACCTTGAGCAGATAAAAGGCGACTGTAGGACTTTGAGAGCAAGTGTTGGGGCAGTCAGAGAGGCTCAGGTGGTGTTTTCCTTCAGCCCTTCTGGTAAAGGGGAAGGGCCCAGCTGGGAGCATCTGGCAGAGCAGTGCCTGTCTGCACAGCTGATGTTGCTAGTGAGGAGTCAGCTTCCTCAGGCTGGTGTCTTGTTGGAAGCCACCTGAGGGACCGAGGCCATGAAAACCAGGTGACCAGAGAGGAAAGGAATCTTAGTGACCAGGCTGGTTAAACTGTCAAGAAAGGCTTTAAACTCAGTTAGCTATGAAGCCCAGGAGGGACAAAGAAAGAGCTGCAAATGAAAGAAGCAAGCAAGGGAGAAGGTTGCAAGGGGGACTTTGACATTCCTGCTTAGAAGCAGGTTTGTGTTCAGAGGCTTTTCTTAAAAGTCCCTACATAGGTAAGCATCAAACAGAAAGAGTTGTGGTACAGTCACTAGGTTAGGAAAAGATTTCAGGCATGGAGACTTCCTGCGGTAGCACACATTGCTTGAAAAAATGAAAGCTGACACAAGCAGATTTGCAGCTATCCACAGTTCATTCTGGTTCAGTGATACAATGTATGGCTGATCTGCATTCTGGTACTTTGTGTTGACTTTCATGTCCATCTACTTTTACAACTTTCCAGCTTGTATGGCCTGCTTTTTGGGCAGCCAAGCAGTTCCCTAGTACAACTTTTTTATCACGCTATGCTGTAAAGTTGAGAAGAAAATGGAACTTTTTTTTAAAGGCCTGGAAGTGGTTAGTACTTCCATGTTCTAATAGGAGAGAATATATATATATTTTTTTTAAGCAGCAGGGAAACATAATTACTACATAATAGGGGTAAAAAAGGCAACAGTTGTTTTATTTCATTAGAAAAAAAATATATTTGTGTTACAACCGAATACCCCTGTATAGTTTTGGAAACTGTTTCAAGACAGGTTAAATCAGCTTGGATTGTTACAGCTATTAATATATTTTGCACAGGTTTTTAAAATAGATTTGTATTCTATAGCCATATTTCCACCCCTCCCAAGCTCTACTGATGTACAAATTAAATTTGGGAGCATTTCCCTTTGCCCTGAGTAGTGCTAAAATTTGCTGTATTATGTGCTGTTTTCAATATAGTGGTCGTATTTTATGTACAGTTTTTGAAATTAGTCCAGATGAATGAAAGTACTGTTAACATTTCATACTCTCTTTTTTTCAGGATAATAAAACTGCTTTATATTGGGCAGTTGAGAAAGGAAACGCTACAATGGTGAGGGATATCTTGCAATGCAACCCTGATACTGAAACGTGTACAAAGGTAACTACTAGAATTTTAGTCGAGGACATAATTTGCTTAGTTTAAGATCTGTATGTGATGTTAAGATCAGAATACCAAATTTAGCTTTCTGAAGTGTGGATAACTTGCGTGCTGTTAAAAAAAAAAAATCGGTTTATTTTTTTCTGAAATACAGAATTTATTTTCAGAAATGGTAATGTCCCCTTTGTGCATAAGCATCACCTAGTACTAAAACTTAGTATCAGGGAATGCATGTATACTTCACCTCAGCAACATTGCCATAACCAGCAATGAGGAGTAGAGAGCAGATGCTACTGGAAAGTGAGGGAAGAGGCTTCTGATACTGCAAACCTTGAAAGTTCAGACCTCCATTTATTGCATATGCAGGAATAAAAACAAGATAGAGGAAGTAGTATGTACAGCAGTGAATTACCTCTTTTCTGGTTCTCTTTTCAAATACCTTGTGTTGTATCTGAATCTTCTCTTCCTCTGCTTGACATTGTTATTAACAGGAATGTATTTTGCACTTGCATTTTGCTTTGTGTTTCTAATCAGTCTAGAATTAAAGGATCTGTGATACTTTTTCAAGAACCTGTGCACTGAAGTATTGTTACTTGCACAAAAATGAAAACTCCCTTAAAAGTTGTGATTTTTAATTAGTTAGGCTATCACTAGTTTTTGCTTGTTTTTGAATATACTGAGAAGAGCTTATTTTATTGTGTCTACTTCTCCCTTTTAGGATGGAGAAACACCACTTATAAAGGCAACCAAGATGAGAAATATTGAAATAGTAGAGCTGCTTCTGGACAAAGGAGCTAAGGTCTCTGCAGTAGACAAGGTAAAGAGTCTTTGTTTTCTTTAGTGTATTTGATCATTTTAGTTTTGCAGCAGAATTTTGTATTGAGCTATCAAGGCTAAAGCAGAAAGAGAAATTTTTACATGCTTAATAATTAAATAGATCAGAATACTTAAATGCAAGCTAATTCCCACCATTAATATTTTGATTTTGTGTTTGTATTGGAGTGCTTTCAGTAATACAAAAAGAAAAAATTCCATATCAGGAGTAAGAATTTCACAGATAAGAATACTGAGTGTTAATACACTTGAAAAAGAATATAGAGAATGGTTGTTATTTGCCACAGAAGTTTGGTTTTGATTAATAGCCATTAAACTAAGTGATGCAACGGACAAACACAATGATTTGTTGCTGTTCTCTTGTGCATTACCTACTTTGATAGTAAATCCTTTAAATATGGGAATATTTATTTGATACTTTTAGTCTCATATTTAGGGCAAATAAGTAATAATGTTAAATTGACCTAATAAGGAAACTTACCAGAAAGCTTTTTGGAGAAGTTTGAGCAGACACTGAAATAATTCTAACAAGGAGTATCTCTTGTTCCAAACAAGTCCCTGAATTTTCTAGTAGACAGTTGTTTCTAAGTAGAGACTACAGTTTTCAGAAATCTGAGAGTAAGCATTTAAGAAAAAAGATAGTGCCTTAGATTTAACATTATAAGAACTGTCTTTTCACATGTCTTTTCTGAAACTTTTGTAATGCTTTTTTTGGGGGGAAGAAACCCACTTGCTGTAGGGCGTTAATTCTGTTGAGTATACCTTAAGATATATTTCAGGTAAATGGTGCATTTGAAGTGATGTGAAACGTATGGTCTGTTCATAATCTTCAGAATTCATATTAGATATTACTGTTTTTTTCACTTACTTGCAGAAAGGAGATACTCCTCTTCATATTGCTATCCGTGGAAGAAGCCGTAAACTTGCTGAATTACTCTTAAGAAATCCAAAAGATGGTAGATTGCTTTATAGACCCAACAAAACAGGAGAAACACCTTACAATATTGACTGTAGCCACCAGAAGAGTATTTTAACACAGATATTTGGAGCCAGTAAGTATAGATAATTATGTTTTTCTCAGATCTAAACTTAGACTGATGATAACTGAGCTTTATTCAATTAATCGTTCATCTCATTAAAAAAATCTCCTATATTGTTTTTTGATCACTTTTGTGTTGAGAATCCAGTTTATTCTATTCTGTAGTGAAAAGTGTTAACTGTGTAGGTTTTTTTAATGTTGCGACTAGCGGGAAAGCTTTAAAAAAAACAATGTAAGTTGGCAAAAAAATTAATAATTCTAAAATGCTCGCAAAGGTCAAACATTTTATTTTTGATGCTTACCCTTCGACATTGGATGCTATGCAACATGTGTTGAGCATTTGCTTTTACTTAGATCTTGCTTATGTAGGAATTATTTTCTCTGACTTGCTGTGATTTTGGATTTTGAGTCTTCTGTGTAAGCTCTGATAGTTTTAATAATTACCTGACATTTATGTGGATGATTTACCTTCGAACAAAAATGTACCAGTAGTGACAACTGTTACATGGGAGGAATGTGTATACAAATACAGGTGAACCGGTCATGATTTTATGTACGAAAATTGTCACGTTGAAAAGATTTCATAGGGGAAAGTTCTGTAACACAGTATTCATATTACAGGACACTTGTCTCCCACGGAATCTGATGGTGACATGCTGGGTTACGACCTGTACAGCAGTGCTCTGGCTGATATTCTGAGTGAACCAACCATGCAGCCACCCATCTGTGTAGGCTTATACGCACAGTGGGGAAGTGGAAAATCCTTCCTGCTCAAGAAACTGGAAGGTAAAATTTGATTTAATCTTTTCTTGTAGGCTCAAATCCACCTATAAAAGGCCTTGCATAGGAATTACTACTTTCTGCAACATCCGTTGGTCCATACAGTGTATCCTATGTCTGTTTCTGTAATGAAAGGATTTCAACTTTAACCTGGTCAGTTCATCCATAGGTTGCTTTGTTCATTTATACAATGTCAAGACAATCTTTAAATGTTGCTGTCCTGTGGGTCTCCTGCAACAGTGAATCTACTCTTTAGGTACAGCTGAAGATATGACTGCTGACATACGCCTTGCTGGGGTTGTTTGTGTGTCAAGTCAGGTTCAGCCCTCTTTTGCTGCAGTATAATTCTGCCTCCTATGTGTCATCTTAATTTTAACTTTAAGTGTAAGAACAAATTTAAGGCTATTTATTTTTTTCTCTGCACCTAGTTTTCCTCCCTTTTCCCCTTACTTACTTTGGCCTTTGTGAACTTTCTGAAATGACATAGGAAGGCAAGTGCAGTACATGAAGAGTGTCAATATTTTTCGCAGTGGAGATAGGCAGCTTATTTACAGTTATAGCTTTTTCTAACAAAGATTGTTTTTCTGAGATGCTTCAGTGTAATTCAAAATACATTTACCAATCTTTGTTTCTTACTTTCTGTGATTTCTATGTTTTTAAAAGCTATATTAGTCAAAAAGGGATCTCTAGATTCATTTTGTTCACCTCATGCCCCATGTCATAAAGTGGTAAAAAGGGGTGTGCATTTTTAACTGTGATATTTATTGTTGATGAACTCTTATGTTTTTAAAATAATTTTTCAGTGTTTTCTTCCTGTTCCTCATTCATCTTTTTATTCTGGATTGTGTACTTAATGTTTCTTACTCTATAGATCCTAAATAAGTTTCTTCAACACTTCTGATTTTAGTAAATAAGCAACAAACAGAAATAAATACTGAAGCCTTTACATTGTATTGTTATATCTGACTATTTGAGGAACATGGTCCAGATTTCAATGATGGAGGTTTTGGGTGTTGGGATTTTTTTTGGCAGATACGGTAGATTTATTTTTCTTGGTGTCATAAAATATGTTTTAAACTTTTGAAGGAGGATAGGCAATGTCATAGCTTTTAGTAGGCCTTTAAAAGTAGAAAGTCTGCAGTAGACAGTGCAAGTGTTATGTATTTAAATGGTTTCATTCATTGCATGGATGAAAACTTGGGGTTTTGCAGTAAAGTTTGAAGAAGAATTCAAGAATCATTGTCTTTTTTGAATCAGTAATAGGGAAAAGTTATACAGTCTAGTGAAAAAGTTTATTTTCAAAGATGAGATTCATTATAATTTTTTTTTTCTTTCTGTTCTAGAATGATTTAACATGTTGACTGGTTTTGTCTTCTTGATTTAGATGAAATGAAGACTTTTGCAGGACAGCAGATTGAACCTCTGTTTCAATTCTCCTGGCTTATTGTATTCCTCACACTTCTGCTGTGCGGAGGTTTGGGTTTATTGCTTGCTTTCACCGTGGATGCAAAGCTTGGAATAGCGGTGTCACTCAGCCTATTAGCAGTTCTCTACATTTTCTTTAGTAAGTCTTACTTTATATTAAGTTTGTGAAGATTTTTTATCTATTTTTGGAATTAAGTATTGTTTTGTAGATGTGTTTTGTGATTCAGAAGAAATACTAAATGCTTTTGTAGAAAATAGGACCCCTTCGGACCCTTGCCTTGTGTTTTGCATGTAATTTGTGAGAGGGCATTCTTGAAAACAAAGAAAAATTTTGTATATTAACTTTATTATGTTACTCTTGCCATTCTCATTTTTAGCCATAACTGTTAAAAATTCTCATTCAAATAATTTTATGCAACTCCAGGCCTCATCTGTTCAAACATCATGGTTCTTTCAGATGTGAGCATTGACTGAAATATAGCCGTAACACCTATTTTCGTTTTTACTTTTTTAGCTGTGATTTACTTTGGTGGCCGGAGAGAAGGTGAGAGCTGGAACTGGGCCTGGGTATTAAGTGCAAGGTTGGCAAGACATATTGGATACTTAGAGTTGCTTCTCAAACTCATGTTTGTGAACCCACCAGAATTACCAGAGCAAACCACTAAAGCTTTACCTGTCAGGTTAGTTACATCATTTATTTACTCTTGAATGAGTAATTCAGGTTCACTCTGATACGTTTCAAGCTGTGCATATTAATGTGCATGTTTTTATCTTCCTATGAAAAGCTGTTGAGATTACTGTTTGGAAAACCGTAGCCCTAGAAGGTCATGCAGTTAAATTTTTCAGTATGAAGAAATAGTGTTTTCAAGAAAAACCCTGTGCCAAAGTTGGTAAAAGTTACTGCTTTTTAGTATTAGGGGTTTTGACTATCATACTAATAAAAATTTGTAACAGACAAAGTAAGAATTTACTTTTCTGGTATAGCTTACTGTGTATTACGTTTAGTGCTTGTTTCACTGATTAATTCTCTTAAGGTCTGTCTTTTTTTTGTCAGCTTCCCCTGTCTGTTCCCCTGTCCCATCCATGTCTTTTCCTCCTGCCACACTCTCACCCCCTCCTCCCCATAAGTAGAGCATCAGACTGCTCAAAGCTTCTAGTTTATCTGAAAGAAAGAAAATTTATGCCATGTGTTTCACAGGTTTTTTTAGTTCTGTTCTTTAGAGACTTGTATTTTAGCCTTGTAGTGCTTTTATATGATCTTGTTCTTCTGTATTTTTGTAATCCTCCATAAATATTTGCAAAGAGCTCAGAATGCAGTTTTTAAAATACTTGTCAATATTATGTTTTGGCATCATAAAGATATTTTTAGGTTTTTACTGCTATCTGAGATGCCATTAGTGATGTGATTGGTTTTATCTTTTTAAGAAATCAAGCTTTCGACTAGGAAGTGGGGCAAAGAAGAGGTTGATAACCTCTGAACAAATAAAGAAATAAATACTTAAATTCCATGTAGAGTTTTAAAAAAAGAAAATGTATTTTGCATTTTGTGCCAGTTGAAAAAACTTTCAGCTGCAGAAATGCAGCATGATTTTTGTTGTGGTTGCCAAAAAATATTTAAAGCTTTCTGAAGTATACAAAATACGTGTTTTTTCTCTTTCAGATTTTTGTTTACAGACTACAATAGACTGTCCAGTGTAGGTGGAGAAACTTCACTGGCTGAGATGATTGCTACCCTCTCTGATGCATGTGAAAGAGAATTTGGTTTCTTAGCAACAAGACTATTTCGAGTTTTCAAGACAGAAGACACACAAGGTTTTTATTACCTGAATAACATTTCCAGTTATTCTATTTCAGTGTGCTGTTATCAGGGGTTCTGTTTTCACATCATAAGTTGGTTTTAGAAATCATTGTAGCCATGCAGAAACTCATACAGAAGGTGAAACTCTTTGTATTGTTTTGGAGAGAAAAATGCCCTGGTTTCTTTTCTCACCTTGATTGTATCTTATCATCTTGATTAATATCACAAAGGAATATCTTCTGTGAAGTATAGTTCTCAGAAGCATTAATGGAAATTTGTATTGATGCTATATCCTATTAGATGCAGCATGGTATTTTTCCATAGCTGTTAAGTTACTGTGTCTGAGTCAGATAAAGGGAAGATTATACTTTTGAGTGTTGCTAAGAGAAGTTTCTGTTTATTTTATTAGATTATTATTCAGAGCTTTTATGAGTGACCACTACTTATGCTTGGAAATAATAAATATAAAGAACATGTTCGTTCAAAGCCATAAATTGCCGTGATCAGTGCTGGTAAGATGGGATGAAATATTCCCGTTTGATCCAAATGAAACAAACTTTTTTCTTCTGTCCCATCTGTAGATTTCTGAAAAAGATAGCAGGACAGAGTATGATATTATGAAGAAGGGCAATACTTGAGGGTAACTTTCAGTTCATAGAGGACTGACTTCAACTTCGAGTTCAGTTTGTCAGTTACTTCTCATTCCATTTTGGCTTTGACCACAAATTGAGGAATCTGTTAGATGCTGTCTCCTCTCACAAAGCAAAATGTTTAGACTCTCCTGTCTTAGAGGGTGGAAAAAACCCATACTGTGCTGAACACAACTGACTCTTCATTGTTCTTTCTCAAATGCACTGTGAGCATTCTTTATGAAAGTGATATGTGGTGGTTTTCACCCTTATTTCCATATTAGACATTCTGAAGTTCTCTCCTTAACATCAGTGAAACAACTTTCATGATGCTGTAATTTCTCCAGAAATGGACTTGAGAATGGCAGTGTAGTGCTGGCTTCTTGTGATTATTGCAATAATCATATTTTCCCTTTCATTTGTAATCTTGCATTTCTCTTGTATTCCTTGGCTCTGCCTTCCTGTGCTCTTCCTAATTATAATTGATTATTTTACAACATTTTATCTGTTTGATGATCTTGCACATTATCTCCTTGTCTCTAGATGTTCATAGAAATTCCATATAGGTTTCTTTTCAGTCTCCTGTATCTTTAATTTTTGTTACATTTCTAAACTCATAATTGCCATTTCATTGTTGATGATTCCTAGGTCTCTCCCTAATCCAGTTCTGTCTCTTTCTAGCTAGAGGAAGCTTACGTCCCTACTTTAGAATGCCTAGAACTGACTGGAATTATAACTGAGCTGTCATTCTTCTCTTCCTTGCCTTCACTCCTGTCATTATGCATTTCTGTTGCTCTGTCCTGCATCACAATCCTATCACATATGTCAGTAATTTGAAAGACCTTTGCAGCTTATACCCTGATCTAGAATATCATACATGGGCCATGTATAAACCTTGGATATTCTTTCCACGTTGCATATTAAAAATTTAGTTTTTCCATTCTAGCTCAAATACTGATTTTTAGCTGTGTCATCATTTTGCATCAGATCATTGCTATGATCTGTTCTTTGTTATCAACAAATGTGTACAGAAGGTCTGAATCTTCCAGATGCGTACGCCACTAGATATGTACAGAGCCTAAAGGCAGAGGCTGCTACTGTGGAAAAAAGCTATTTCTTTGATCAGTGATTTAGCCGTGCTAATGTCCCAACTGCAATATTTCTTTGCCTCTTCCTTATCAATCCAGTTGAAGTCAGGAGGTCTCTCTTCTCTTCTGAGGCCCTTGTGACCTTACATGCTGCAGTCTTCCCTTGTTTGTGTTTGTTTTAGCATGCAAGAAAGGATAGTCTCAGGTTGTAGCTTACAATTTTGATGTAGTTCTCCAATGGTGCCATTACTGTTAGATTATGTAAGTATAATTTTTCTGTTTAAAACTGAGTAGTTACAACACTGTTTTCCTGGCATTTAATTGTGTAAATACAATTTACTGAGAGATGCCACAAAAGGGATAATACCATTGATATGAAATCTGTTTAATAAAGATGATTTCCATCCAGTGAGGATTTCTTAAAACAATGGAAGTAAACTGAAGATTAAAGGAACACTTGCACTTCATAATTTCCAAGACTTGGCAAATTTTGACTGTTTTATTCAGGTTTGTGACTGGATGGTAACACTGCAGTAACCTTTTGTGCAAGTTAGTGTTTTATGAGAAGTATGCCAGATTTTGTACTCACCTGTTATTACATTTTACATTCATTATAACAGCAAATACTTGTTTCCTAGGTAAAAAGAAATGGAAGAAAACTTGCTGTCTCCCATCCTTTGTGATTTTCTTGTTCATATTGTCTTGTGTTGTTTCTGCAATTGCACTGCTGGCGATTTTTAATGTAGAACCAGCCAACATGACAGTGAATGTTATTCTTATATCGGTTACCTGCGTTGTTGGCTTGGCCTTTTTCTTGAATTGTCGCACGTGGTGGCAAGTGATGGATTCAGTTTTGAATTCTCAAAGAAAGCGTCTTCACAATGCTGCCTCCAAGCTTCACAAGTTGAAAAGCGAGGGGTTCATGAAGGTAAGCATTTGTATGAATTGGCCATTAAAAGAATTGAAACAAACCCCCGAACCTGTAGCCTTCTTAAGATGGGGCACCATTTATGTAATCAGGCCAAGTCTCACAACATTAAAAAGAGACTTGGTGAGTTTTTAGTGAAGGGAACACTTCTGTTTCACTGGTAATTATGCTTAGTGTACGAGAACTGTCTGCATAAGCAGAGAGGAATGTTAAATTTGGATTAAGTTTTCAGTTTCTAATTTTATTTTTGCTGCGAGGAAGGTACTAGCAAAACAGTTGTTCTAAATGATCAGGTTTTAGTAAAAGCTTACTTTAGAGCATAAGTTTTAAAATATTCTAAGGGTGGAAAACCAAGCCTAACTTTGACTGTTGCAAGACCTCTCTACTAATAAAGGAATGACAGCACTGAAAGAACATTCCAAAACAGTCCACGTACTTCATGAAAATGATAGAAAATACTTCTGTTTTGCCAGGTTGTATCTAAACTGATAAAAAAATGTACCCATCAGGCTGAAGGTACCCATCATCAAATATCCTGTATGCTCCTATTTGGAAATAAACTTTAGCATCATGATGGTTACCTGCGTAGATTACAGATAATACATTGGATAACAACATGTTGTGCAAATATTTTTGTAGCACAGAAGGCCTTATCTGTGTCTTGCTACTTTCTTGACAGTTGTTTTTTGAGTGGTATTTATCTGGAATATCTTCAGCCATTTTGGAGTTAGGTTCACCCTTTGCAATCAGAGGAGAGAAATGGGTATTTCCAGAGTTATTCATATAACTTATGTCACGTTAATGTGCACATTCAAAATTAATCTAGTGGTGATTAGATCAGATTCTGATGTCTACCCGTTAGTTGCTGAAATTAGGGCAGGTGAATTTCGCCTTTGTTTCTATATTAGGGGTAGTTGTTAAATGTGTAACTTAATGTTGAATAACTTAAAAAATCTTCAGATTGTGTATTCTGAAAAGGAATGACTGAGCATTAGAGTAACAGCATAATTTGCTCGATTGGAAGGCAGATAGAAAATTTTAGGGTACATTTTATGCAAGGCAGTTTTTGATGATTAGATGAAACTACAAATACTCTTTTGTTTACTCTTGAAATACTGATTTACAGTGCATAAATATTACCTTTTTAAATAAAATTGTAATGTAATTTAGGTAAAGATAGTTTGTTACATTAATGTTGGATATGCAGTTCTTCTGTACATTTTTGTGCAAGTAGGAAATCAAAATTTTGGAAGTGACATTTTAGGACTTTACGTCCTAAATTTTTTGTAGCAATCTGCAAAAGGAATTATATGCATTTTTGTGAGTTTTAAATATTTTACTTCTTTGTTTTTCATGTTTATAGGTTTTGAAATGTGAAGTGGAACTGATGGCCAAAATGGCAAAGACTATTGACAGCTTCACGCAGAACCAGACAAGGCTTGTTGTAATTATTGATGGATTGGATGCTTGTGAACAGGACAAAGTTTTACAGATGCTTGATACTGTGAGTTGGATCATGTTATAAAGATGATCTCTGGATCATCTGGATGATCATTCCATAGATGAGTTCAGATACATAGAGTTATTGTGTATTTTCTGTAGGAAGAAGGCATGTATATAGAGTCTGTTGTGGTCTTTTAACATTTGTGTACATTGCTCTAAGTGTAATAGTAAGAGTGATGGCTTTTAAAAGTTGAAAATTAAATCCTGGTAGAACTGTACGTGTTAATACTTGTGAAAAGTTTTGAAATAAACAGGTGTAAATTATTGAAAATTAATATCCTGTTGAAACAAACTGAGAATGTTTGGAGACTTTTTCGTATTTACTTTGAAGTACTGTAGATAAAAATACTTAAGTGCTAAATATTTTGGGAACATTACTGCATGATACTGTCTTGGTGATGACTTCCACCATAGCTACTACTGCTAATTTGTCAAATATTCTGATTTCTTATTGTGGATAAGTTCCTAACATTAGGTATCTCATATTGAAGTAACTGACATCTCTATACATCTTTTGTCCTCTCAAGTTTATAACTCAAATAGAATGAATATAAAATGTTGAGTCAGACCTACAAATGATCCACAGTTACTATTAATTACCGTGTACTGTCTACTTTTTTACAGGTGCGAGTCTTATTTTCAAAAGGCCCATTTATTGCTATTTTTGCAAGTGACCCACACATTATTATAAAGGCTATTAACCAGAATCTCAACAGTGTTCTACGTGATTCAAACATAAATGGACATGATTACATGCGAAACATAGTCCATTTGCCTGTTTTTCTGAATAGCCGAGGACTTAGTAATGCAAAAAAACTGATGGTGGCTTCGACAACCAATGGAGATATTCCTTACACAGATAATACAGGTAAGGTTATACAAGAGGATGTTAGAAAGTTACAATAACAATGTTCCAAAAGTCTGGGTTTTGGAACAAGCTATTTAAAGATTTGGCAGATCATTTTTATTATTTTATACATGAATCGAATGCATATGACTGGTTAAAATGCCTGCCTTTGGTTTTCCTTTCCATAGGGTTGCATGAAGAGGTTGACAGGAGAGTTTCTCAGAACAGTCTTGGCGATGTGACCAAGCTTGGTAGCAAAACTGCTCTCAATCGACGGGTGAGAAAGATATTTTTTTTTTTTTTTTTTTTTTTTTTCCTTCTTTTCCTTTGTTTTTTTCCATTTACATTTTCAATTATGTCAACCTGGAAGATTTGTCAGATTTCTTATGAAATTAATATAAATGAGCCGCGTAGCAAAAGTACATTTTTAAATCAGCAGAATGACACTATGAAACAAGGAAAAGTTTGCTTGCTCACGGAAGTGTTCTTTTCCACAAATACTTAAATTTGGCTCCATGTGAATGCTGAGATGATACAGCATACTGGTAGTAGCTATAATCTATGTATGGTTGTATATTTTTGATTTTTGTGTATAGGCCTGTTATCACTTGATCCCAGGATGTTGCAACAAGGGATGGTAATTGAACAAATGAAGGAATTTAGAATATTATAGTATTAGGCTTTTACTGCAACATGTCCACCACACTTTCTTTTCTGTTTTGCCATCTTTATGTAAAATCCAAAACTGTTTGAATAAAAAGTATGTAGGAAATAGTGAAAAGCAATGCAGACTCTGAGGATTCTGAGGTATTGGAGTTGTCATAGGTAGAGATTTGGGGAGTTTTGTAGCAGAGGAACCCAATGTTTGCTTTAATTTTAAAATGTTATTAGTAAACGGATGTCATGATCTTTCTGTAGAGACAGTAGGAAACGATGATGGCAATGCTGAAATCAGTAACCTTTTTACAAAATACGTTACTGTGTCACTCTGTTTTGTCCTCTTGGAATTGGCATGGAAGTAAAATGTGTAACTCTTATCAGTTCTTACCTAGTAGGGAAATAATGTTCAACTGTTACACAGATAAATCAGAATTAAATTCTAGTAAATATTTTTATAGTATTTTAATGTCAGCCTCACAGACACATAATTCACAAGGGTTCTAACTTTATAATCAAGTAAAACTTAAGTATTTCAAATACATAAAAGGTTTTGTTACTAATCAGTATTCCTTGCTTTTTTGTATCATTATCAGGATACTTACCGAAGACGCCAGATGCAACGTACCATTACTCGCCAAATGTCTTTTGATTTGACAAAGCTGTTGGTTACAGAAGACTGGTTCAGTGATATCAGTCCTCAGACCATGAGAAGATTGCTAAATATTGTTTCAGTGACAGGTAAGTATGGCATGTTTGTGTACAGTAAACAGTATTGTGTGTTGGTTGCTTGTAGTTACACTCAGACTTTTTAGTGTGTAAACTAAATTTAACAAGTCAATCCATATATTGATTTTGAAAATCCCTTTGAAGGAATTCCCAGAGTGCAAGCAAAGATTATAGACTATTCTACGTAGAGAATGAAATAATATTAGTTTGTTGTTTCATTGACTTCTGTTGAGAGGCAAATGATTCTAGTCTATACTTCTGGGAAGTTTTATATTTTTTAATTTTGAAGTGTGATAATAAAATACACTTTTAAAGTTTGTAATACTCTAATGTGAACAAAGCTCATAGTGCTGGTACCTTAAAAAGTAAACTGTGAGTCTAAACCAGGTATATATCCTTTACATTCTTGCTATGGATATTTGGAGTCCTTTTTCCCTAAAGGTCAGTCTGGGAATGGTGAAAGCATTTTATGACCTGTTTTCCTTCAACGAAACGCAATCAGGGCATTGGTATCTTTTGAGGCTTAAAAGCTGGAAACAACTGGAGGACTTATGGAAGTCTAATAAGATCATGCTTCATGTAGTAAGTGAATGGGGAATGATTATTTGCTGTCTCTTTTCTATTACACTAAAGGGCACTGAATAACCTTACAGCTAACTGGTTCAGAACAAACAAGTGGAGTTACTTTTCACACCGTATATAGTTAAGTGCATAACTCCGCAACAGTATCATGGATGTAGGAAGCTTACATGGATTCAGAAACAATTAAATATCTGAAAAGTAAAATTAAATACTAATAGAAAGCAAGCAATGAACCACAAGTTGCCAGGAGCTGGAATAAAAAGAGAATATTATTTTTCTCCCTGGTTCTGAAGCTTTTACATAAGCATTTACTATTGTACAGTATGAGGCTTCTGGGCAACTTGGAGTTTTACTCAGAATTGGCTTGATTTTTAACCAGAAAAAAAATATCTTGGTAACAGCTTGAGCTTAATTTCAGTATGTTTAACTCATTTTTTCATTTATGTGTAAGTCAATAGCAGCCTTTTCAAAAGGATTGAATTTCGTGGTTTCTGTGTTTTAGGCTTTGTATTCTGAATGTTTATGATTAGGATGTGGACCCTTTTAGAAAGCTGCTATTATTCACCAGGTGCTAGTGAAACACTTTTTTACTCTGAGGGTGACTAAGCACTGAAAGAGGTTGTCCAGGGAGGTTATGGAGTCTTCATCCTTGGAGATATTCAGAAGCTGTCTGGACGCGGTCCTGGACAGCTGGCTTTGGGTGGCCCTGCTTGAGCAGGGGGGTTGGACCAGGCGACCTCCAGAGGTCCCTCCCAACTTCAACCATTCTGTGATTCCATGAAATAAATAATATTAACAGTTTCTAGGACTAACTGGAAAATGTAAGGGATTCACAGATGTGTCAAATGTATTGTCTTTAATACTTAAAAATATTTAGTACTCTTTAGCATGCTTATTAAGTTAGTTTCATTAGATAAGAGGATGAAATTAGGAAGGTTAATTCAGGAGAACTTGCCACTGGTAAACAAAGTTATTGGGTCATAAAATAATGAGTAGTGTAATGATTGAAGAGACAGTAAACAGTTTTTCCTCTACCTATGGAAAGGATAAGTAGTGCTTTTAAAATTTGAAATAGCTAGTTGAAAAAATGTTGCATTTACTATACAGATCTTTCTGGTTTTGTTATGTTTCTTTTCTTAATATCTAGTCTTGCATGCAACCGTAGCTCTCCCATTGACCCATTAGATATCAGTGGTGTGTCTAAGAAATGGTATACCTTTGAGCTCTTCCCTAACAAATTGATCCTAGGTACATCATATTCTCTACAGCTTCTGTGTTGTAGAATTCTTCCCCTGAATTAAATGAATTACTTGGGTTTATACCACTTAACTCTTTTTCATCTGGGTTTCTGGTTTTATGATAAAGGATCTTAGTAAATGGAGAGTGGTACTACACTGTAGAAATGGAGAACAAAGTGAACATTACTGTGTTTTGAAGGAAAAGAGTTATGCTCTTGGGGTTCTTTTAGGTTTTTCAACATTAATCAATTTATCACAAGCTCTGGCTTATGTTAATGAAAATAAAATCTTTAAAATTTCTGGTTTCAGTAAGTCTAATAAAATTTGATTGCTAGGAAGACTGCAGTACAATTCTGCCAATAATACTAGCAATAAAAGATTATGTTTAATGACTCTGTAGTTTTTAGAAATATGACGTATGTCCATCTGCAATAACATTTAATGCTTAAGTAAAAAATCTCGATTTTCTAATGAGAGCTGAATCATTTGAGAGAGACAATTTTAGGAGGAAAACTTTCACAGATACAGAAATACCAGTTGCCTGCAGGCATATAAAGGATGGGTTCAACAAATGTGGCATTAAGTTCTGCGTCAGGTGATTGTAGCCATATTGCCTACACTGGGTGCAGTTCAGAAACAGCCTGTGTCTATTGCACAGCACGTAGCTGGAGCTAAGAAACCTGCTGCAACCATCTCAGGTCTCACTTAAGGTGTTTGCTTTACCAGTAGATGCCCAGCATAATAATACAGGCTAGAACTGAACTGATTCCTGCTGATCCATTTGGTTTCAGAAACCTGCTACAGCAGCATCAGTGCTGCATCCACTGCCGAACTTAACATTGCATTTGGGAGAACTTATTTCCAGCATGTCACAAGTAGGTGGAACTGGTTCAGATCTGGCACAGTGCTGAGGTGATCATCTCAGTAGGAAGTATGATACAAGGAGACAGTTGTATGGCTCTGAGCGGAGGCCTAGCTCTGGAACCAACCTGGGTAACACAGGGGTGTTGGCTGTCTTTGCAGATCCATTCCCAGTGCTTGCACAGTTTGGATTGTCCTAATTTACCCTCACTAAGATTATGAAAAATTAAATGTAAATGCTGTTCAAAATTAAGTAAAATAACCCATGGTTTATTTTCTATTCCGTTTATTTAGTGCTAGTATAATCAATATACAAGTGTTAATATGTAATCTTCCCCATTTTCCCCTGCTTCTTCCCTTTTTTTTTTAGGGATCATGCATATGTGACAACACATCTAAAATTCTGAGCTAATCCTTTAAATAAATGAACAGTCTCTTAACATTGTCATTACAATTTGTAGCATGAAATGTCTGGTTTGGGCAAATTATAGTACAGACATGGAAGTATAACAGAATCACAAACTGTTAGTTGTAAAAACAAACAAGCAAAAAAACCCCTGCAAGAACACTTCTAGTGTACTATATCTGTGATTATATACGATGATTTCATGAGCAGAGCCTTCAGACTGTAAGTTATACGTCATTGAGGATACTAGTAATACAGTTCTAGAAAATTTGCTAAAACTTGAAATGCATAAAATGTAGCATTAACTTTTTCTGGTTTTTAAGATTACTTTTACTTGTAATTCATACCTTGCCTAGTTAACGTAAAATAATCTTGTTTATAGTTTTGAATTTTACGTCATTGGCTATTGAAGATGGCAGTTGTACCCTTATCTTACTTAAGCCATATTTCATATGCCAGTGCACACATGATCTTCCACAGTATTAGCGTGATTTTTGTGTTTAGATTGAGAAATTAATGCTGTGTGAAATTCTCTATTGAGTTTTGTTCAGGTAACTCAAGATTCACCTGTAACAGGATGATTGTAATTAGTGTTTAGCCTGGAGCTGAAGTTGACAGTTTTGGAGAGTCTCATGTTCTGACCAGTATTGGCAAGAATTTTTTTATTAGTTTCTCAAACGATATTTTTAGATGTGACTTGAGATGATTTTGAACTTACTAAGCTACAAATATAATACCAGAAAGCTCACAGATCAGGTTAAAGGGCTTTACATAGCTGTTACTTTGAGGGGAAAAAAAAGATATCCTTCAGAAGGGAAAAAATTCCCCTGTGTTTCTTCCCTTCTTCACTGTTATATTAGGTCGCTTATTGAGAGCTAATCAGATCACATTCAATTGGGACAGACTGGCTAGTTGGATAAATCTCACAGAGCAGTGGCCATATAGAACATCCTGGCTTATACTGCATCTCGAAGAGACTGAAGGTGTTCCGGATCAGCTGACTTTAAAAACCATCTATGAGAGGTAGGTGTTATTCTGGTAATGGTATGCACTTTTAAATGATTACAGTGGTGATCACTATTAATGATTATTAGAATAAAATGGGTTTCAAACAGCTACCAAGTTACAATCTAAAATTCCCACAATCTTACTTTCTTTTGTTAACTTTTTGAAACTTTTAAATTACTTTTATTGCTATTTAATGCACCATGTACGAATGTGCGCTTTGTATTAAAAATGAAGAGAACTATACTGGCATGCTTTCACAGATAGCTAGCTGTGCTTCTGTCTCATAATACAATTTTCATGTCCACCTTGGCCAAGCTAGAAATTGTTTGGTTTGGTTTGTTCCCCCCCCCCCCCCCCCCAGTTAGAAATATGAACTAAGCTCTGCAAAAACTGCCTTTAATCGTAAAGATCTCTGAATGTTTGGTGCTTAGCAAGTGTGCTTGAGGCTATGGCAGTGCCTTGTGCTGCAGTTAAGGAATACGAAAGTGAAGTGTGACTTTCTCTGTTGCTGGTACAAGTTGTTGTCCAACAGAGCTGTCTAGATATTGTAACTGAGAGCAAATGGTCCCCATGTTGCCAGTGAAGATACCTCTCCAGAACCTGGCTGCTTGTAAGAAAGGACTTGTGGATTGTGACAACTGACTTGATGGCAGTGGGAGGAATGAAGAGAAAGAATGTGACTGAGAGTTGGGCCTATAGTAAAAAAGCAGAATCTGAGAATGAGTCAGTGAAAGAAGGGTTTGACTTGTGTAGGAAATAACTGACATCGGATTAAAAGAACATCTGAGGTGAAGAGGGAGGACTCGGACCGATTGAGGAAGTTCCCAAAAAATCTAGAGACTTTGCAGGGTCCAGGGGAAGAATTGAGAGGAGAATGAACTTGGACAGAAAATTTTGGGATGGTGCCCTGCACTGAGAGTCAAGGAATGATAGAAGATGAACTGAATGAGGATCTGGGGTGGACTGGAAGTGGTTGAAGTGTTGAGAATGGAATTAGGATTGGTTGGGAAAGACTACTGGAGTGGGTTGTACTAGGAAAGGGAAGTCAACGTGGGGTTAAGTTCTGAACACAACCCAGGAGTTAGAGGGACAAGGGTGGACTGGGCATGATGAGGTTGAGGATTGAAGAGAGACAAAGAGGGTAAGTAGTAGACTGAAGTAGCTTCAAGTTAGGGGGTTGTTGCTGAAATATCAAACTTCAGAGGTAGAGAAGTGTGTGATTAAAAACCACTTTTTTCTGGAGAATGGATCGTTTCTGGGTTTTGCATTTCTTCTGTGAGTGTAGGATACCAGTGAAATTAGGGATAAAGTAATGGGAACCCACCTTTCCACTGTGGTTTCACATGGTTATTGTCACAAATGTTTATGTGATCAGGTAAGTGGAATAATTCAGAATCATCAGGGATTCCCTCTCCTGTCATGTTTTCCAGTACTCTTGCTGTAGATACTTCTAACTTACCCTTATTTAGATTTGCCATATGACATGTTTCATAATTTTATGTTTTCAGTATTTATCCAACAAACTCATTACAGTCTTGATTATTATCATCAACAGTAATAAATCACTCTGGAGTTATCAGAGTCCAAAGCTATCTTCAAGACATAACAACATTCATGTTCTCTGATAAACCAGAGGTATTAGAGACCTGAATTGTTCTCATAAATGGGTACTAGTAATTCCACTATAAACCAATGTTAAATCTGTAGTGAACCAACATGAGGAGAAGGAAAGGATAGTCACAATTGAATGCAAATGACTTATTTGGGTTCTGGATTATTTGTTGTTAGTACAGACACTTGAGCTATTCCTATTCAGTGCCAACTGGAGTGTGGCTGGTGTGGAGAAGATTCATGAGTCCTACAATGCCGGTTTGCTTCTTACTGTGCAGGTTGTGTTTGGAAGTAATATAGCCACTTGAGTAGAGTGCCAATTCACAATTGACAGTTACAAAAGTATAAATAAATTTATAGTGTATAAAACTAGGACCTGTAATATGAAGAAATGGTAAAGAACACTGTACCATATATTGGAAAAGGAAAGGTGATCTTTAAAGTAAAGCTGTTTGTATTCTACCTGCAATATCAGGAAAACAAGGAACAGAAAAAGAGGAACAACATTGAGGATTCTCTCTTTATCAAAAAATATGAACAGGATTATTTGATGTGAAAATGATAAAGCTACAAGACTGAGTTTCTTTAACTACTTAACCATAAAAAAAAAAAAAGTTCACAATAATAACTGCTGCGCACTCAGAGAGTTGATGTCTCTCTTAGCTACTTCTGTAAGGAACTAAATATATAACTACTGATGTAGTAACAAAGCTGAGATCTCTATCTTTCTGGTGATTTGGGTGATAATCTTTACCATATGCTGAATATGAAAAGGTCTGTGAACTCTTCTCTGGTATTATCTAATGCTCTAAAAATTCTGTTTTATCCAGAATAATCCTTTCTGTGTTATTGTTATTCTTTTTATCTACAACTGTTTGAAGTCATTTGGCTTGAATATCTGTTTCTGTATCAGTTCAAAGTAGAGTACTTTAGTTCCTCATCTAAAACTGCAGTTTCTGTTTTCTAAGGTTTTATAGTTTATAAAGCAGCTTTCCTATTTGGAGTTTCATTAATAGATGCCAGATTTTGATACTACTGTAGCTTCTGTTCCTGTACTGAGTTTGTGTTACTTCTTCCGTGCCTTTTATTCTGCAAGGATTGTTTTTTTAAATATTTTGGTACTTTAGAACAGGAGCAAGAATATAATTTTCCTAGTATTAAGTAGTTTGTGTCAAACTACTTTTTACTGTGACAGTGCAAGTTCTTCTTTGGTTTTGTTGCATTTTTGAACTCTTCAGTGTGTGGGGAGAGGGGTCTGCTTGGAAATGTCCCTTGGATGAAAGGAATCTTGTGGGTTCTGTTAAGTATAGGAGTGTGATCTCATTCTCCATGTAAGGAGAATGCTTTGAAATCATAGTTACTTTTCCAGCTTTTAAAATATCATGTGTTAAAAAGGTTGTGAATCACTAGTGAGAACCCTCCATTGCCTTTCTCTTCACTGCTGACTGTGCGGGGCGGAGGGTTAACCCAACAAATCGATCTGTTACAGGGACCTTCAACCGAAGAGCTACGGTAGGTAATTAGTGTGCGCACTGAGGGTATGACGAGTGGTAATAAAACCTAAGTTGTTTCAGTGCTGTATCTTTGGAGGCAGATTATATCCAGCTCTTTCCTCCCGATGCTGCTGATGCTGTCGGAAGCGGGGTTGGGCGCGGGCGCGATACCATGCTGGGTGGTGCTGTGCCGGCAGGTGGCACTCGCAGAATGGCTGGCTGGCCAGCACAGCACCCACAGCCTCCGCTCGCTCCTTACTCTGGGCATACTCTGTATTCATCTGTAATGTTAGTGATCTTTTTCACTAGATGCTTTGGTTTTTGGTATTTCCAAGAATGAGCGATGCTTCCACAACATATAAGAAGGATAGTAAAATGGAAAGAATCAAGTAGTCAAGCATTAAGAAATGAAAGAATAAAATTAGTCTGAAGTTAATTCCTCTCTGTGCATGCATTATGATATATGATTTAGTTGATTATATGCTGTTTTGCCTCCATAAGACTCCTGTTTTGTAATTTCCAGAATTTATTTTTGCAAGATGCATTGACTGTGTAGTAAAGGGGAGAGCTATTTTCTGTCACATCTCAATGCTGTCTGTTGTAGTTGAAAAGAATACAATACCAAAACTAAACTAAGGCAACTGAAAGCTGCTCTAGAACTGTTCATCAGAGTTTGTGTGATGCTGGACTGTCATACGTTTCACTTGGATGGTGTTTGTGCCTCTGTTGGGAGGTGGTATACAGCTTATGGTTATGTAGGCTGATATTAGTAAGTGCTCAGTGTTCAAAGCTATATCTGAAGCTAGTGGGAGCTCTGCTTTCAGTAGGTGGAAAAAAACCTGGATATCTCAATTTGGTTACTAAATAAATATACCTATATCTCTGTGCTTCAATGTGTTGTTAAAAAAAAAAGCTAACTAGTATATTTTATTGTGAAGGATTGTTGGGGAGTGTGAAATTCCAGCTTTTCTATAGATACTATGATGGATGTGGAAGACTATTGATGAGCATGAAACCAGTTCTGTCAGGAGAAGTGTATCTTTACTGTATCATACTATGCAGAGATGGGAAAACCTACTGAATGTTACATTTGCAACATTTTCTCAGAGCCTTAAAAAAACCCCCCACCGAAATTAGGCTTTAATTCATGGCACAGGCATCCCTATGTGAAGAGTTTTTATGGGTTGCAGTCACTTAGGTTTCTCTCTTAGTAACAGGTAGAGATACTATATTGTAATTCTTTTGTAGAGGGGAACAAGCCCATGCTTTGTAATTATGTCTAATTTTGAAAAATTTAAAATGCTGACTCTGCATTGCTGGCTTTTGTTCCAGATTCTGAAAAAAAATGTCTTCGCTCTTTTTTTACATCCGTAAACTGACTTGCTCTATCATCTCACTTATATTCTCTCACTTCCAGCCTTTTTCTTTACTGGTCTGGACCTTTTCTTGGTTTAGCTTTCAACTGGTATACTTATTAGTACCAGTATTTACTCCTTTGGGTTTGTGTTGCCTTTTCAAGTCATCTCTCACCATCAGGATTTTCATCTCTCCTTCCCAGGTTAAGCTCCTAATTCTGATTTCTTGTCCTTCTCCTTGCCCTTTCATGTTTAGGTTGTTCTGTGGTCAAGCCCGCTATTGTTGTTACCTACCTCTCCATCCTGGTCTACTTGAATTATTTTTACCATTTTATTTATAATTGTGACATACAGTTAATATTCCTCTAGATTTATGTTGTGCTGTGCTCTCTGTGTTGCTGTAAAGAGTCTTCCTAGTGTCAGTTTTGTGTAATGCCAAAATGGTTTGCAGAAGTTGCAAAAAGCAAATTTTTAAAGCCCTGAAGTGGAATAAAATACGTGGGCTTTCTGTAAACGAAGTTATAAGAGAATTAAGTTGTCAGATTAAAGCAAGTTT